CTTAAGATATTTACTGGTTGCCTACTCAAATCATCTGAAAAACCAAATACAACCCTTGTGGTTTTATGTTTTATGTCTGTCTTGACTTGCATATTATTTACTGGAGATGTGTCCTATGTCCTCAGGGATGCTGCCGATGCTGTGTCTAGGAATCAGTGCATCTTTCCTGTTCCTTGTTCTTCTTTTCTGTTTGTTCCTGCGACAACCGAGACGGGCCGAACCAACCCCTGAAAATCCACCCAAAGCTCCGGTATTTTTGAACAGTCGATACATTTCTGTCTTTCTTTATGCTCATATCAGCTGATTACATAGAGCAGATAACGTACTCTCTCTTTCACATCTTCAAAGGCATCCATTCATGATCCGGTTCATTTGGTTCCTCCCACCACGGTCCCAGTAGACCCCTGTGATATCCACTTAGACTTTGCAGATGATCACATCCCCTCTGCTCCTCGACCTTGAACGTTGGAAACTCGAGATCCGGTAAACCCAGCCATCACGAAAGTGAGAGGTCCGGCTTCTGGCATCAGTATCCCAAATGCTTCAAACTCCTCTGAAGAAACGTGAAGACTAAAACTGTCTAAACAATGAGTGTTGCCTTTAGATAAATGCAAGGCCTGTTTTGGGAGACAACCGATGAATAAATCGGGAGAGCACACGGACTCCATGCAGAGAGGCCAAAACAGGGGTTAAAACCCTTGACACTCGGTGTAAGACAACAGTGCTACAGACCTGTGCCACCATGATGAGTCCTGTGCTCGAAAACACAAGAGAATTGTTGAAAGTCCCTTTCCCGAAAACTTCGAGTCTTAAAGAAGAACCGTTTTTTTTTACTAGATCTTTTAGAAAAACAATTAGTCACCCCACGTTTCAGGTTCTTGCACAACATGAAAACAGTCTTCTACCCTTTTTCCTGCATTAGCTCATGAAAAAAATAGACGGGAAACGCTTGAGTCAGAACAAAACACTCAGATCTCACACTGTAGCATGCTAGGCCTCACTCATTCACAACTGGGGAAGGCTGTTGTTGATTTTGCATCCAGGAGAGCAGAGCGCATGTTGACTAGTAGAAGCTAACTGTTAGCATTAGCGATTCCACAATGCGTCAGTGGTAGAGTTATGTTGCTGTTGACCAATCATAGGTGAGATATCCTAATATCATGAACAATAATCAGTAAGGCTCAAAATCCTGCCATTTTACACCCCCAACTCCCAACTTCTTCCTGAAAAAGGAGCGCCGGAGCCTTTTCTTCCACAGAGAATGACTCACAAGGCATTTATTTACAGAGACCACAGCAGATTTTTTTAAAATAATGAGCGTATGCCCACTTTAAACGAGTTCCTTTCAGATTTATTTGCACCTCCGATGACCCACGTTGCACTTCTATCAAGTGATCTCCATCTTCATTGTATCAGCATGTTCCTCACGTTGGTATGAGTCAGATCTAGAAGACGAGGGTCATAAACCCAGAGCTCCAACTGAAGCAGAAATGGTTTCTGTGCATGTGCACATTCACTGTTCTTTGAAAAGTCTAAATCTGGTTGCGGTTCCTCTCCCTGGGTGCCGAGGTCCATTCCAGACCATGATCCTCCTAAACAAGAACTTGAACAAACATCATGTTGCCAGCAGCTCCTTTGCACTGCTCCTCTTGGCCAAAGAAACAAAGCATGTTTTCTCCTCCGGTTTATTTATCTGAGATGTTTCTGACTCACTGGTGCTATATCAGACCTCCATCCATAAAAACAAGGAACATCTTGACATCCCTTGTTTTAATGGTGTTATATTCTTTCCACGGCACCACAGAGCCCTGGGGGTTTGGCCTTCCAGCCTTGTTTGTTCCCTCTTCCATCTTTTCCAGAGTACACACAACCCTCAGGGGGCAATCCAAAGCCAGAGGCATGTCTTTTATTAATCCGCACCCCTCATGGATGCCCAGAGCAAAAAGCTGGCTAGTGTGATCAGCACCTGATTACACAACGGTGAGGTTCCTGTTTTCTCCAGCATCAAGAAGCAGACCTTGGTTTTCTTCTTTTCCATCTGTTTGCTGTAAATTCTCTGTAACACAGATGGATCTGATTTATAATTCTTGTGTCATCATAAGTGCATCTTGTTACTGTTATTCACTACTGATCAGACCTTCTCCTTCATGGCAAATATTGTTTTTATCTCATATTTTCTGTAATAGTTATTTAGACAACAAAAATAAAAGGTGATCAAATGTTTGTAAATGCAACTAGTTTGTTTTACACATTAATGGGTCTGGTTGTGTATTATTAAAGAATAATGCGTGTTTGTTTCTGAACAAAAATGTGGCCACAAAATTACAAAAACAAGAATAAAGCCGACAAATGCAACATTTTACATCATATGTGTAAACGCGTCCCAGAAGAGTTACTAAATATATTTATTGAAACAAAATGACTTTCATAAAAAAAAAGCTTCAAAATGGAACACAGGAGCTCAACTAAACAAAGCACAAGCAAATGTAAGTCTGAAAACACTTTTGAAACCAATTTCTGCAGTAAAACCCAAACAGAAGGAATGTTGTTGTGTATTCTACGTTTTTATTGTTTTACTGTTAGATTAGGGACCCATAATTGCTGCACTTGTGTTAAATGGTAAATGGTAAATGGCCTGTATTTGATATAGCGCCTTCTAGAGTCCTGGAACCCCCCCCCCAAGGCGCTTTACAACACAATCAGTCATTCACCCATTCACACACACATTCACACACTGGTGGGGATGAGCTACAATGTAGCCACAGCTGCCCTGGGGCGCACTGACAGAGGCGAGGCTGCCGAGCACTGGCGCCACCGGTCCCTCCGACCACCACCAGCAGGCAATGTGGGTTAAGTGTCTTGCCCAAGGACACAACGACAGCGACAGACTGAGCGGGTCTCGAACCTGCGACCTTCCGATTGCGAGGCGAGCACTTAACTCCTGTGCCACCGTCACATTTATTGGTCATTTAACAGTTTTAAGGCATTTTGATGCTGAAACAATAATTTTTCAACAATCATTTGTTTACAATAATGATGACATTAGTAGAGTTACTACTTTTATTGGTTCTGTCAGACACATAAAGACATTTCTTTTTGCTACCGTAGCTCATTAAAGGGATACTGCAACTTTTTCATATTTTTTAAATCATGTTCTTGAGCCAATATGTGCTAAAATTACCCTTTACAGGGTTAATGAAATGTCACTCAGACCCCACCCCCCTTAGTGAGCAGAATACTGCATTTGCAACTTCAGAGTGCCAGTCTGGACTTTTGGACTTCGGAAAATGGAGCTGACATACCTGGCGCTGCAGTCTGCTTCCAGGACATTTCCTGCATGTTTTAGATCATGAACACAGCTGATTTGTTTAATTTAGTGATGAATCACTGCTGTAGACACTAATGAAGGCTGGGAGACATTTCTGCAGTTAGATTAAGTTGTTAAAAAGATGAACGCACATCGAGGAAATAGGTTTCACTTTTGGATCTACTAAACGGACACCAGAGGGTGTTAAAAGCAAGCCAAAACTTCCTGGTCTCTCTTCAAACCCCAGAAAATGCTTCAAAAAGAGTTTTGGGCCACTTTGAAATGTGTTTCTGTGTAAAAGTTGTAATCCATTCAGGAATAGCCTAGCTAGGGGAAATAGCTTTGTGTCCTTTAGGACTCTTGGGCTAACTGCTAATGTACGCACCACAAAAATAATATTTTTTCTGTTATTTGGTAAACCACAACATCAGTTTAGCATTACACAAATAAATAGAATCATGTGCTTGCAATCGGGAACGTTTCAGATGCTAATTGGAAGAAAAATCGGTCCTGCGTGGTCACTAAAATACCGGAGATCAGTTCACGCGATGTTAAGCAAGGAGAAAGACAGCAGCATGTAAAGTGTGTGGTTCACTAGCTAAGCAACAAGAAAAATGCACAATATTTACTTTGAAAGTTGCCAGATATTTTACACGGCCCTCATGTTTGATTTCCTGTCTGGACAGATCTTAACTGTTGAACTTGACGCGCTCTGGAAGCCGAGCGCTTAAAAACTTGACCTTGAGCATCAACTTGGTGGAGCGATGCAGCACTACACTTCTGGGATGCGTCCAAAACGTGCAGCTTTGTGGCCGGTGGACCCTTGCCAATCATAATGGCGGCCAAGTGCTGTGTGCTACGCCTCGTGGACGTTACGCATTGCTTACGCATCTAGTAAAAAGCAGCAAGACGTACTTTACCCCACGTACTTTTTTCTTAGAGCTTAATCTCTTTACCGGACTAGTACATCTGTTGGAGGATCAGTTACTACAGGTGATAAGTGTTATAACTACACTATTGCCTAACGAGTACGTTTGTTAACATTACTTAGTGCCTTATTAAGCATTAATAAATAAAAGTGCTCTTTATTAATGTTACCGTACTGTTAACTATTAAGTGTCCCTAAGGTTAGGACGCCAAATCCGTAAATCGATCCATACATAATGATTAAGCAGTTGTTCATAGTTTATTAACGCTTAATAATACACTAAGTAACATTAATAAAGGAACCCCTCTTGTTTAGTGTTACCAGTAGTTTAATTACAACATGAATTTTCCCACCATTTCCCAACATGAGGCTTTAAAGGGTTCCATTCTTGGCCTATATGGAGTAAATTATTTCAGATTTTCAAGACCTGAGGCAGAGAAATAAAATGTAACCATTGAAAAATGAACATTTGAGTTGCAGCTGACTAGAATGATGCTTTTCTTTTCTCACTATGTAACCTGAGACCTTTACTGAGAGCTGTTATTTCAGTCTGCAGCCAAAAGAGAAGCTTCACTCAGGACGGTCGGTGCTGTGTGCTGAACAGGAGATGCTGAGTCATCCTCTCTGTGACTCACCCCCAACGTCGACAACATGAGCGTCCAAAAACGGTCAGCAGAAACGTGCTATGTCCCATAAACGCTCACAGCAGCGCTTCTGTGAGAAAATAAACGCTGAACACGAGTACAAACACAGGAGTGGAAACGCTTACTTATCAACGGCATTTTATTTGGCTTCATTCATTCATTCTTCATTCAGCAACTAATGTACACGATATATACAGGAGCAAACAAAGGTCTACGTGTCCTTGTTTTGCCATCTTGCAGTGAAGGTTGGCAGTGCTTTCTTGGCCTTTTCTCCAGTGTTTCGGTTTTCCCCCTCGTCTCTCAAAAGGATGCGGACAAAAAGAGTCGCAGAACGGGTTTGAACCAGTTCAGCCTCCTGTCACCCATCCATTTCGTTCATCTGCGCCAATACTGGAGATAAAAAGGGTTAGGTTTTAGTTAGGAGACACTTTATGCACGTTCATCTCCTTCTGTGGCTCGTAAGCTCACCTGAGCAAACTTGTGTATCTGCTCGACCACAGCAGCAAATAAAGCCCCCACGCTCTCGTCGATCAGAGTCTGCATGTAGTGGACGGCCTCCTCGTCCGACAGGTCCAATCTGAACTTATCCTGCACCTGAAGCAGCAGAAATGAGGTTTTAGTAGCTGATATGAACCCGAGGGCTAATCTGGAGTTACTTTTAGCCCTTCACAGGCTCAGCTACATGTGTTAGTGTTAGGATTATACAGGAAATTGTCTTATCTATTCAAATCCAAAGATCAAAGTACCTTTTTAACGGTCTTGTCAGGCTCCAGAGCGATGTCAGGAATATTGGCATCCACCATGAGCGAGAACAGGTTCAGGATCAGGTTGGAGTATCTGAGGAAAACAGAGTTTTACAAACTACAGCATTTATTTTCCTTTCTCAAGGCAACTCGACTGGTTGACCTATTTTAAGAACTGCAGATCAGCAAAAGCTGTGGCTTCCAGGGATGTTCCGATCATGTAATTTTGCTCCCGATCCGATTCCGTGTCATCTGTTTTTAAGAAGCCGCCGATACCGAGTCCCGATCCAACACTTTATAAATGCATCAAGAAAAAAATGAGAACACGATAGTTTTATTTTTTTATTTTTTACCTGTATTTGATATAGTGCCTTCTTGAGTCCTGGGACCCCCCAAGGCGCTTTACAACACAATCAGTCATTCACCCATTCACGCCCTGGTGGTGATTGTAAAGCTAAATAAACACAACATTTATTTCCTCCTCACATTTCACAACACACACACACACCGACTCCTGCCTCTCGCAGCACCTCGCGATAGAACACGACACGAGAAACTCGCTGAATTTGCACATTTACAGTGAGTTAATAGTGATGAGCTACGATGTAGCCACAGCTGCCCTGGGGCACACTGACTGAGGCGAGGCTGCCATACACAAGCACCACCGGTTCCTCTGAACACCACCAGTAGGCAAGGTGGGTTAAGTGTCTTGCCCAAGGACACAGCGCAGCAACAAACTGAGCGGGGCTTGAACCCGCAACCTTCCGATTACGGGGCGAGCTCTTAACTCCAGCGCCGCCATTGCCCACACCAGTTGTCCTTTAAGTTATTTTTAATCGTTAATGCGTTTATTTATTTCTACGTCGATGTCATCTTTTTAGTTGTTTTGGTCACAAAACATCATTTGTTTGGAAAGTACATTCATAAGGAACATGTTAATATTAGTATGTGTTAAAATAAACGGTCATTTACCATTTAAATTAATAACATGTTACCATTAAGAATAAATGCAGCCTCAGTGGTCGGCTGTTTTCCGCAACAGGGATGGCATAACATACGACGGTCAGTGGTGGAGTAACTTTTTTCTACGAAACACCTGTAGAGCTGCTGGCGTCTGTAACGTATACAAAAGGGTCTGTAAAGGTAGGAAGAGAAAGCAGATCATACCATGACTTAAGGAGACTGCAGAACCCAACGCTTGCAACCACAGACCCTCGTCTAGTGTGGTAAATATTCAACTATCTTGACATTTTTGCTGTCCGTAGACTATTTCTTGGTTTCTTAACGTCTCTTTTAGTGTTGGCTGGCTTAGCGGAGTTGCTGCAGCGAGCCGAGCATGGTCAGCACTACCTTTCCCCCCTCGTTAAATGACCAGTTTGCACACATGACATGTAGGGATGCACCAATACCGATACTGGTATACTGGTATCGGTATCGGTGATGACACAGATACCGATACCAGTATCGGTATTGGTAAAAGTTAACAGATACCAGTAACTGATACCAATGCAGTTGCTTGAAAGTGACTTCACTGTAACTTGTCATTTCTGTTCACCTAATATTTTAGTTTTGTGATCATTTATAGTACTTTTTATCTACCTCACAGTCTTTTCCTATTGAAAACAGAGAAGAAAATAAAAGCTGTATTCCAATTCATTGCATTTTTTGTGTGGTAGAAGTATCGGTATCAGAAATCGGTATCGGCGAGTACTCAGATCAAAGTATCCGTATCGTATCGGTTTGGAAATAAGTGGTATCGTTGCATCCCTAATTACGTGTTTTCATTACACTCCCGTTGCTGTTCATTTAAAAATACATCCAGTTTACATTTTCTCTCACTCATGGGGGCAACCATGTTCTATGTTAGCTAACGGCTACATATTATGGTGTGTGAATTCCCGGACTACCCTAAATTGTGGAACTTACAGCGTTGTTGTCTGCGAAACAGAGAACACTGATGCAGCGGAACTTGTTGAATTTAAAACTAAACCATTATTATTTCCTTAGAAAATCTCTTTCTTGAGATCAATTTAAATAGAAATATTTGTCGTTTCAAATGGTTGAATCCGATTTTCCCCGCCAATTCCGATTTCCTGAAAATCACATGATCGGACCCGATTTCCGCTCACGTGATCGGAGCATCCCCAGTGGCTTCGCTCGCTCATAAGTCAGTAAAAGCCCAGTTTTAGTTGTGGACATTTTTACGTTTACCTCCTGAGGTGAAGGAAGGCGGTGTAGCACTGCTTCCTGAACTCCTGGTACTGTTCGCTCTGTGTGCCGCCCATCCCCTCCACCATCTCTTTACTCAGCTTCATGGGCGGGGGCAGAGGTTTGGGGTCTCGGCCGAGGATGTAGCCAAAGTCGATGTGGAAGAGCTTCCCTGGATGAAGACGGGAGAGGAAACCGTGTGGGAGGGGAAAAGACAAACTCTGGAAGCATGAAGCTTGGTTTCTTACCGAGCGTGTTTATCTTACCGGTCTTTGTCAGCAGCAGGTTGTCCAGGTGTCTGTCTCCAACTCCCAGGATGTACGTGATGACACAGTAACCAGCTGGAAGACAAAAGCACTCTTCAGACTGGAGATAGTTAATGACCTGTGGACACGTATGTGTCAGCGGTCTCACCGCAGCTTTTGACATAGGTGTCCATCACCTCTGAGCTGACGCCGTACGGCCCCTTTTCACTCGGGGCGTGCTTCCTGAAGAAGCTCTGTCGAGATTAAAATAGCAGGTCACGCCAAACGGCCACAGATTTCGCCAACGACGCAAGATCTTCGCAGCAAATCCTTAAGACTACGACGACTCAGAATCCCACAGCGCAAACTAAAACCAACCCACCTGGATGTTTCCTTCTGTAGCCAGAACCTCAGCCACAGGGACAGACTGGACAAACTGCATAAAACCTGGGACAGAACCGTACTCGTCTTAGCTTGGCTTAGCTTAGCAGAGGCTAGCACATTTAACTTATTAAAAGTTTTATTGGACGTTCTACTTTGACTCACCGTGCTTGGTGCTGGTGGCCAGAACTTTATATGGCGTCAACTTCAGGTCCAAGTTCTCTTTCCGCAACAGCTGCAAATGCAACAACAATTAGAAAGTATTCCAAAACCTCAAATGCTGATAAATAAGAACAGTGACAAGCTACTAAGCTTCTGCAAATGACATCGGGTCTATGACATCACAAATGAGACATAAGAACCAATCACAAAAACTCAGGATTTCAGATTTTCTAGGTGATAGAAATCTGACGCGAAAAGCAGCAGAACTGTGTAACGTCCAGCAATGGTCAGCTTTCACCTACAGATTGACCTACATGCATCTGCAGACATAAATTCCATTCTCTACAGTGGATTTTACATCCTAGCTTCCAACAACCCAGAAGGATACTGCAGCCTTGTTGACATTTCAGGAGGAACAAGATGTCAGCCTGTGTTCCCAAACAAAGCCTTCTTCTGATAACACCGCAGGATTGCTCACTCTCTGAATAAAGTGACTATTTTCAGCTCATATGAGTTAATCAGTCGTGAAATGAATGAACAAATGTTATATGAATACTAATGAAATGTTTTGATTAATCTGTGCTTAAATTAATAAGGTTGAAATGAAACATTTTGGTATTATGATCAGTAATGTTGGTTTAACAAGTGAATCACTATTTTCTGACGGCTCACACACTCAGACGCGTGACGATGACAAGGTTAAGCTAATATCCTGACACATTGCTTTCTGTTCCACGAATCAGAACTCCTGTATCTGACGCAAGGCGTGACGTTCCGAGGTTTGCTTGTGAACACCCTTAACATGGCACGTCCCGGCTGGCCAAGAATTCATAACATGAGAATGTTAAAACAGAGCTCACTTAAGGATGAGTCAGTTCTGGAGAAAGCTACGGACTGGCCATCCGGAGCGAACCCTTTTTAACCCAAAGCTTTCGACGAGCTGAAAGCTGCCTACAGCTGACACAGCAAAACGGTTCCCTCAGCTATTCAGAACCAGCTGTTCTAGACACAAACGATTTCATCTATCTGTTGTGAGCAGGGAGACGACTCTGGACCGACCTGGTCGTACTGCGGGCTTTTCTACAAACCTCAGTACTTTGGGGTCACCCCCCCGACATCTCGGATCCAAAAGGGAGTCTCCTCAGGGGTACGTAGAACACAGCATTGGTCATAAGTAAAGGTAATACATTAAGCTTAAAAGCATCAACGTTTACCCTCTACAACTATAATTACTCAGTGGAGGATTCGGGGTTTTGTTTTGAGAGATTTTAGCTGTAATTTTGATCGTACACACAAATATCAACCAGTTTTACTTTGTCCATGAGCGAGATGATCTGCAGGATGAGCTGATCCTGTCTCAGGTCGTCTCCATGTTTGAAGATGACCGGGTACATGGCTCCGTCCTCCGTTTTGAAGATCAGCTTGGCCGGCATCAGAGCGCTCTGACTCACATGAACGAAAGGGAACGAGTTACAGCTAAATTCATCACGTGAGCCTTTATTTATTGAATTTGGTGAAGTGGTGTGAAGCTGGCTGGGAGGGACTGAATCTGAGCTGAAACTCTAGAAACCTTAAAGAGCGTGGCCGTCTCTGGGACGATCCCTCTGATTCTGATCTGGGGCTCCAGAGGGAGAGGAATGGGCTCGATGTCGGAGAGGTTCACCTTCTCGTTGTCGGCCAGCAGAGCCTGGAGCCGCTCCGTCTGCAGACACACACACACACACACACACACACACACACACACACACACACAAAGGAACGCTGACATCAACACAGCTCGGCACAAGTGGAGAGCTCACTGATTAAACGGAACAATCATTTATTTACGGCAGTAAAAAAGTGAAATGCACCTGATTCTAATTGCAAATAAATACAAATACTTTAAAGTTTTGTCACGCAAATGCGTTCAGCTGTAACCTTCTTCTTGCGATTTCCGCTCTCTCTTTGGACGGCTTTCATGAGCTGCACCAATCTGTCCACGAAGGTCTGCTGGGAAGCCAGGAGCGAGCGCATCACCTTCACACTCCGATCGCCCTGCAGGGAGGAAGAGTTTACCATCATCAGCGTCAGGCTGCCCGTTTTTCATTTTTACTGCGGCATCACATAAAAACTGCATAAATTCTTTACTGTGACAAAAGAAAAACAGTAAAGGAAGCTACTCTGGACCCTTCTTTAACCGTTTTGCGTTTCATTGCGAGCTTTCACCTTTAGCAGCGCCTGGCTGAACCTCCTCATGACGTTCAGGTACATCTCATGAGTTTTCGGGTCTCGCTGCTGCGTGTCCTGGTCCTCACACTCCACAATCACGTACCTGAGACATATAAGACTTTACACACACACACACACACACGGCGTCTGCTGTAATGGACCACGTGGCTTTACTGATCGGTGCTCACCAGTACAGGTAGTTGGCGAGCGTAGAGTTCTTGCAAGCCCGCGAGATGAGAAAAGTGCACAGATCTTGCTAAAAAACATAAAAGAAAGACAACTTTATGCTTTTATTGAGATACGCTTACAGTGACGAAGGACGTTTCTAAAGGACGTTTTCTCACCTCTAAATTCTCACTGTCTATTCCTTTTCCTCTCTGCTGCGGGGCGGAGGATGACCCAGATGTGCCTGACTGACTCTGAGAACTACAAACATGGTAAAACAAACAGAGTCCATTAAATCACATTTAAACAGAGACAGGGATGTTTTTAGGGAGCAAATTTAGATCCTGGACGTAAAAGTGAAACTACAGAGCTCTTTAGCATAGCGTTTTGTGCAAACGTTGCTATGAGCTAACCTGTCTGGTGTGGAGTCGTCTGAAAGACCCTGGCTGTCCCTCTTGCTGCCTGGCTCTAAGCCTCCCTGAATCTCACTGAAGTTTTCGTACTTGAGCGCCTGCACCAGCTGCAGGAGGTACATCAGCAGGTCCTGAGCAGAACAGAGGAGAATGATGACATGCTGCACATGAAAATGAAAAACGATATAAAAACATGAAATGTTTATGTTTATTTATTTGGCAGACGCTTTTATCCAAAGCGACTTACAATTTATAACCTATAGGGCGTGTTGTCGTCTGTGGGGGAAACCGGAGTACCCGGAGGAAACCCACGCACGCATGGCTGCAGCCGCGTTTTAAACCTGCATTCATCTTGCCACGAGGCAACAGTGCTAACAACTGCGCCACCATGCAGCCCGAGTATTTGACATTTCTGTAACTTTAGCTACCAAACTATCCAAGCGGCAGCTTTTACAGCCTGACCCACCCCCTCTTTATACCTCATCATCAGCCTGCTGCAGGCGTGCCACAGCGTAGCGTCTCACTGTTGGGTTGGTGAAATGAGAGGACAGTAGCTCCAGGGAGTCCTCCACATCCATGGGCCTCCATTTCCCCAACAGCTCCAGAGCTTGCTTGGCCTCCTGAGGCAGATCCCAGTTCACACATTTCAGGAACTTTGTCAGCGCCTGGAGCCGGAGGAGGAGGAGGAAGAGGCAATGAGCATGTGCAGAACTCCAGTCAGTGAGAAGGTAACAGAAGAAATGACCACCTTTTCCTGAGTGGTGAGATAGTATCTGAACTTCCACACCAGGTCTTGTTCTTCAGAGCTCAGCTGCTTGGTTGGAGGGTAGCTCACGATGATCTGTTGGCAACATAATGAGCGATTTATTGTTGGGAATACAAATAAACATGGAGAATCTCTCCACCCATTAAAGTAACACTAAGTAAGTTTCCTGCTTCTCCCCCTAATGGTTGAAAATAGAATTACACCTGCCATAACAGCCCTGCTGCAGGCTGCAGACGATGCCATCAGACAATGTGTTGTTTTTAGCATGTTTTTATGAATGTGGGGCTACTGGCAGTTCAGAAAATGATTACCATTTTGCTGCTTTTTCACACGGTTTGAAAGTGAAACCAAAGAGTCTCCAAAGACGTTAGTCTCTTACTTTTACTTCCAGGCAACAAAAAAAAGCTACATTTTTCTTCTTCTTGCTCTTTTCACAGACAGTCGGCAAGCTGAAAAAGCTAACTGCTAGCTTTTATATAAGCTACTAAAACGGTTCAAACAGAGATGAGGTTCTACAGTTACCTCTGATGCTGCCGCACTTACTGAGGAAGAAGAAATCGCATTAGGGAGGATGCTAATGATTTTGTTTCTAATTTAATTAATTTTACTCATGAAAAATCCCATAAAGTCGTTGCTGCTGAGGGAATAGATGGTTCAGAGCTATGATTCTGTGCGAGTCTGGCAACTGTACTGAAAATAAATGTAGGATTATTCGTATTCTCTTCAATTAGCGATGAAAAATAAGCAGTTCTACACTAGTGTTCCTACCCAAACCACAAAAGTGCTGTTTTTGGTCAGCGGAGTGTTAAACTATGAGAAGTTGCTAAAGTTTCTGATTCAAGAATCACCGAAACCAATTTGAAAGCAACAGCTTAAAGCGTGAAATACTTGGAAGTCTCTTACATTGAGCTGGTCACGTGTGGCAGCATTGGGCTTCAGGTCGTGGTCCGAGGGCCCGCTGCGGAGACTACGAGCCAGTTTGTGGTGTTTGCTCTCCACTAGATTCTCCTGAGAGAATGAATAACACAAACACACACACACACACACACACACACACACACACACACACAGTGAATTTAACTGAAATCTGGAGCTTAAGATCATTATGAATCAACAACATCATCGTTATCTCACCATGCCCATCTGAGGGTCGGGAACTTTAACAATGTCACAGCTGGTGAGGACAGGTGATGAATCATCTCCATCCTGAATGAAAACAAAGCCCCGTCAGCTGACTCCAGTACCAATACTGATGAAATACTAAGTAAAAATACCTTCTCGTAGTACACAATGCTGTACTCCTTGTCGTTTGTTTTGATGCGGGGGAACTCCACCATGAGGTACATGAAGTTGGAGCTACGCTTCTCAATCTGCAGAGAGACATTTGGTTCTGAAACTAAACTGGGTTTGGTGAGTGCTTTTGTGATGAGAATGTAACATCCAGTGGGCAAAATAAGATCCAACCTGGTACAGATTCAGGCTAAGCTCACCTCGTTGATCATTTCGATCTCTCTGAAGGTCAGCCGGTCCAGCCAGTCCACCTTCACCATGTGTCCCTGCCGGTGCGCCTTTGTCAGCTGGGTGGAGAGGAGACCGAGGTTAGGTGTTGATGTCGCAGAACCAGTAGCAACATGGCTGCTGGTGCGCCAAACATGCACAAACTCAAACATCGGCAGCCAGCCCAGCATCTCTGCTCACACACGGGCCGATCCGATCATCAGTAGGGGTGATGGGAATGTAAGCACACGCCTGATCACGGCCACAACTAAAATTAGAGCTCACCATGGAATGAACTTAACGAGAAGTTTAATCATGAGACGTCATTGCTCTGAAGTTCCGTAGTTACCGTGTTACATCAACGTAAACCCATGCGCGCACACACACGGCAGCAGCAGAAATCCTAAAAACAAAACGTGTGTGTGATGTTTGAACAACGCAGCCTAGACATACGAGTGTTCACACCACAACCTGGGTCAAAATGCTTATTCTGCTCCTCTTGTACTCACATCACTGAGCACCTGCAGGTCACGGCCCTGGAACAGACGATGGTTTAGACAAGACGCTCCATCTGAAGGTTTCTACTTCACCTTCAAGCTGATTCTCTCTCTTTGACGTCATAAAGGCACTCCCACGCACAAACGTGAACAAAATCCTACGTTCTCTGCTGTTTTCATACCTTGGCTAGTCTGCCCATCTGGTCCTCCGTCAGGCTGCTGCTAGTGCGTCCCGGTGTGGTGGTGGGCTCTCCTCCGTCCCCCTCCACACCCGGCCAGACCTTCAGGTCGTGCATCCCTTGCCGAAACATGCTAGAGCAGGATTTGAAGCTTAAACGTTTATCTGCAGGAAACTCTACGCAACAGTTGCAGAGAAAAACTTACCCATATTTGCCAAACAAGGTGACGGTGGTCCCGCCGACGGGGACGGCCTTGCCGGGTCCATAGACGTCCCACACGGTGAGAGCAACCTGAGCACTCTGGGGAAGGTCTGGGTATTTGACCGGCAGCCGAAGCCACTCGTTCCAGCTTCACAGGACAAAAACCACCGCGTAAATAAAACGTAGGCACCTAACTACGGTCTGATTAAAGACAAGTTTTGTTGTTCGTACTTCCAACGTGTGCTGAATGCTTTGTATGATGTCCGAACAGGCAGAGCGAGAGGTTTTCCCTCAGCAAAAACTTGGCAGGTGACGTAGAGGTCCGAGCAGTTCTCCTGGTACAGACCTGAAAACCTCAGCATCGGGTCCTCCAACAGCGCTTTGTAGCTCTTCTGCTCCCGCTTCCCTTCCAAACTGCCTCTGATGGAGAATAAGAATGAAATTAAGTTTAAATTTTTTTACACTCCTTCATTTGAAAATATCTTATAATAAAATGTGTATAACAGTTTTTCCATTTCTGTCCTAAAAAAAACCTTCAAATTTGTTGTTTAATTCTTTCTTTTTGCTAAATTTGACAATTGACTCTTAAAACATTTAGATAAAAGTACACAAGTATCCAGAAGTTTATCATTCTTCTGTTATTTATGCAAACGCACTGGTATTAGTTTTGAGGGCTGATTATAGGGATGTATGTTTATGTTTATTCATTTAGCAGATGCTTTTATCCAAAGCGACTTACAATTTATAACCTATAGGGCATGTTGTGATCTGTGGGAGAAACCGGAGTACCTGGAGGAAACCCACACATGCATGCGGAGAACACGCAACTCCACGCAGAAAGGCCGCAGCCGAGCCGAGTTTCGAACCTGCAACCTTCTTGCTGCGAGGTCAGTGCTAACCACTGCGCCACCATGCAGCCCACCATGTATGAACTTATCGATACACTGAAATGTTGAGACATTGAAAATTACGATACTGAATTGATAAAAATTGGCATATCGATTTTTTATTGAGAATTTAGTGCAAACATTTACTGTATTTAATTTGTGTGGTGTAATTCACACTCCGACTGCTAGGTGGCAGCAGTTTTAACGCCTTCATTCTGACGGAATCTTGCGATAACTAGATATGTCTAAATTCGGTCTTATAAGTGACAAATATATGGCTTCTAGTACTGCAATATATCGTATCGCCAGATTTTACCACTTAGCTGATTTTGAAGGTGAACATTTCCAACTTAAGATGGTTTATAATCGTGAGCTCATGTCAATTTCTTACTGCTGCTTGGCAATCCTGCTTTCATGAACTGAATATTGCCCTCTTCGGATGAGCACCCAGTCAGTTTCTTCGTCTCTATTTCTTTATTAAAAGCAACAATTATAGATTATTTAAATAAGATCAACCTTAGATTAGACTCAGTCTGTGTATTAACAGTGCAGAGGATGTAAAGTTTGGCCATAGTGCATCCCTACTTTATTAACAATGTAATAAATAAACTCAAACAGCTGTAAACATGGATAAAGATGACGTCATGTGCACATTTTTCTAATTGACCAGGAGGCACGCGCTCTCTTGCAACAGATAAAGACAGGTGGAGTTCATCTTTAAGAGGGAAATAATGAACTTGCAGCTCTAAGGCTCCCGTTTCTAGCCACTTGGACCCATATTTGGTTAAAATATGACAAATAAATGAAGCTTTTCAAACGATTTAAACATTTAAAATGACACAGCAGTCTCATGTGTCATGTAAACAGCAAGCATCCTGTCAAGTCACAGGAAAGAAAGTAGTTCCGCCGCTTGACTTAAAAAAAATGGCCGAATCAGCGAAACTTACATCTTAAGTTGAACGTTAATGTCCAGATCACAGCTGTAGACATAGTTAAATTTGTCAGTGTCCATCTTCCGGGAAAACACTCGGTTCTACCCCCAACCCAGACGGCTTCAACATGAAATCCCGGGCGGTTGCAGGAGCCTTTGCGACAAGGCCTTGGTTCAGAAACAGTCCACAGAGCTGAGGTAACACTCCGACAGCAGGTTAAATAATTAACGGGTCTTTGACCCAACTCGGAAAGACAGCTAAGTGCTTTAATTCACGGCGAAGACGCTAATATAGCGGCTGTCTCCCCGGGCATGATTTAAGGCTTTTATTTGTAGCTACACAACACACAGAGCAACAGAAATTCCCATCCAGGCCATAGTAATCGAATGTTGATGTGATGAGGCGGAGATTAACATGAGGACAATCGTGAATACGTGTTTTGATTAGCAGAGCCTGATGCGGAAGAGCCGAAAACAACGACAAGGGGCGGGGCTTTGGGTTAAAAGCACAACGCAAAAAAATAAAATAAAATAGGCTCAAGAAAATAACACAGGCTGGCAGCTACCAAGTTCATAACTTCATTAAACCCCAAAAGCCATTACTACCATAAGACTTAAAGAGACAATGTGTAGTTTTTCTCATTAATCTCTGGAAAGATCCATTGAAATGTTGTTGAAAATGAAGTAAATGATGCCCAGTAGTTGAAAAACATTGGCGGCTTTGTAACATATAACCATAAAAATCGGGCCTAAAATACAGAGTAAGGTCTAGCTGAAGCCACAGATGAAAATACATGGGAGTGGGTAAGCCTCTGGGCAACATCATATTAGAAATCATGTTTTCTTCTACATGAGCCCTTGAGGACAAAAAGCATTTTACTGATCTGTGACAAATGGTTACAAAACCTTCTCCATTCATAAACGTTGTTGTTTTACACATTTACCTCTTCACTCATTGCCAGTGATGAAAGTCTGATGTGCTTGTCATTTTGCTGGAGGTTGAACAATTTGACAAAGTACTCGAAAATTGTGCTCCCAGAGATTTTTTACCCTAATGGCCATCTGATAGTAAGGGCTTACTCAAACACAAAATTACCACTTGCTTGCAATGATTTAAGTATATTCTGCCCCTTATCGCTGGAGAAAATACACACTGTGACTTTAAATTCTACAGTACATTCTGAATTTTAATAAATGAAAAGCCCACAGACTTTATAAAAATCATGCAAGTACGTATACCTGAATTCAGAGTTAAATATTAATGCATAATGAAAATGTAGAGAACTATGAAGGAGTTGTAAACCACCACGAATGTATTTATACTTTGTTCATGAGACACATCTTCTTTAGAGCTTTAATGTATTTTCTATAAGTAGTTATTTAAGACTTCTGAAATTCTTTTATTTTACAATTCAAAAATTTCAACAACATTTCTGACCAGTTCTTTAGCTTGACCATGATAACAAATGGTGCAATTGTTGTTTTAAAAAAACTAAGGAACAAGTGGAAGAAAAGAAGACATGTCAAGCAAAAAAAAAAAAAAAAAAAAAAAAAAAAACAGCAAACTAAATCTACAGCAGAGCCAAATTTAACATATTTTTAAATAAATGAAAAATATGTAGCAAAAAAAAAACAGAAAATTTGTTCAGTTGATCATAAAATGAGCTCTTTTGGAGTTACGTTGTCATTGCCGTATTACAATTGTTTGTCAGATCTTATTTTTTAACGATTCCAGTCAAAATGCACTTATCCCCAATTAAGTGCACATCCATGAAGCTAAGAGGTGTGACAGGAAAATTTTCATCTTTTGTTTTGATTTGATCCTCCATTTTGTCACAGACAACATGTTTGACACGTCAGGGAAGTTGTAAGGGACTCATAAGCTCCAAGGAGGTCAGCAACACCCACGACTGTGTCGTTAGATTTCATTCCTGCTGTTTCAAAATGAATATTTAAAATAAAAGAACATTAACATGGTCTACAATAATCCAAGAGGGATGAAGTGCGCATTTTCCAAGAAGCAGCTACAGATTGGGTAAATAAGAAAAGCACTCTTGACTGATCAACACACTCCAACTACCAAGGAGGTATCAGAGAAAACCCATGAAGTAGAACGTTATGAGGCCTCTGGGCCTCCTGTGAGAGGTTTGAGAGGATTTTTCCTATGATCTCGACCTCCATCCACACACAGTAAAACCAGTGGAAGAAGATGAGCTAATACTTCATTTGGAGCAGAGCAAAGTCAGGTCAGATGGCATTTTTCACCTCTTAACATTTTGTCTTAGCATCATGACAAAAGAAAAGATCAAAACACAGATTTGAAAAGCAGCAGCTATTCAGATCCCAGCTGGCAACTGACTTTTAAGAACTAATTGTGAATCAAACTGTTGAAAGTTTAGTCTCAACTCCAGACATAAATACTGCAATTTATGATGAACAATTCTCAAGAGCAGAGTAATGGCCAAAAAAGTACAGAGAAAATAACAGAGCGATTATAAAGTCTGTGTGTTTGTGACGTGTAAGATGTGTTACTTGTGCAGACGCCCACCTAAAACATGATTAGAAAGAAAGAAAATGATCTTTTCTATAGCGCCTCTCAAAATCAAAGGTGCTTCACAAGAACAACAATTTTAAAAGTAAAAAACCTTTTTTTAAAAGAGATTAAAAATATAAATATGAGAAAACAAAAAAATTGTGGTTAAAAAATGGAAGGAAATGGAAAGAAAAAATGAACAGGAAAGATGGAAATCAGCTGATCCCATAATTAATTGGAATTGGTAGAAGGAGGAGAGGGTGGTGATGAAGGGCACGCCTTAGCCAGCCTGAACAGGTGAGTCTTCAGCTGCTTTTTGAAGGAGACCACTGAGTCCACTGATCTCAGGCTCAGGGGGAGAGAGTTCCAGAGTCTGGGGGCCACAGCAGCAAATGATCTGTCACCTTTGGTCTTTAGCCTGGTGCTGCACAACCAGTAGGCTTTGATCACTGGACCTCAGGGACCTGCTGGGGGTGTAGGGACTAAGAAGATCACCAATGTATGATGGTGCTTGTCCATGTAAGGCCCTATAGACCAGAATCAGGATCTTGAAATGAACCCTGAAGTTGACTGGCAGCCAGTGAAGTTGGAGGAGAAGCGGGGTGATGTGGGTGTGTTTGGAGGACTTGGTCAGAAGTTGAGCACAGACATTCTGATCCACCATCAGACGGTTCAGAGAGGTTTTACTTGGACAAGTGAAAAGAGAGTTACAGTAGTCTAAGCTGCAGTGGCTCAAGAGCAGAGTAATGGCCAAAAAAGTACAGAGAAAATAACAGAGCGATTATAAAGTCCGTGTGTTTGTGACGTGTAAGATGTGTTACTTGTGCAGGTTGCCCCGTAATTGGAAGGTTGCAGGTTCAATTATGGTTCCAGACAGAGAATTCTGCTTTGTCCATGGGCAAGTCACTTAACCCACCTTGCTTGCTTGGCCACACCAAGATTCCTGACAGAGGGTTTAAAAGAGCTATTTTTTAATCTGCTTTGCCTTACGCCCTGAATCACACATATGTTGTACTTCAGTTTAAATGTAAAGTGATGATGTGTGTTTTGACCACGCCAGTCACACACTTTGAGACTTATCAGTTTGTAAAAGTTTGTAATTATTATGTCTACAAAATCAGATGTCAGCACATCTCATATATGACATCACCACAAAATCTCTCCCCTAGCGTAGCTGCTACTTACCACATGGCCAGATTTATGGTGGTTCTTTTCTCCTGATGGAAGGATTCAAAGTTCGCTAAACATAGTCATTTTTCATCAGATTTTCTTTGTGTCTGTTTGATGAAGCGCATTTGTAGTCCTGGACATATTTTTACACAAAACCTAAAATTACTTTTGGCCCCGTTCGAAAATAAATGCGTTCTTGGCATCAGAATGCATCTTTAAAATCCACGGACATCACATGTGAAATCCAGGCACATAACAAACAGGATTAGAAAATAGCATTTTTAGCCCCATTGACTTGTATTCGTTTTGTCGTTCTTCTGGGGACCCATGGTGTGGAAGAAGATAGGTGTGACATAGGGTTTTTCTCAGTGCCAAGGAACCTTGCTTTGAGGTTTTGGCCCCACCCTGGTTGCCTAGGAGATAAGTCATCGGGAGCCCAATGTTCATGTTCTACCGAGGCGTGTGTTCGCCATTTGTTAGCCGTTTAGCTAGCTGAACAAGGATACACGGGAAGTGTCTTGTAGCCTAGCCTTGGTCAAAAATTGCCCAGAATACACCGCAGTATTTTCAAAAGGACGGCAGATCAGAATCCAGCAGCTACTTTGGGGACAATTTTCAAGTTTAAAAGTAAGTCAGCTAATTTAAAATGTTTATTTAGATCCAAAGAAGTTATCTATTGTTGGTTAGTTGCTTAGTAGTTGCAGCTTCGGTTGCTAGCGGGTAGTAACTCACTTATATTTTTAATTTAATAAATATATACACAATTTAAAAAGTAAAAGGCTCATTATATATTTATATTGAAACTAATACGTATAAAATATAACGTTATCTCCTGTGTCACGTGACGTTACGTGATCGCCGTGGAAGCCGCGGTCACGTGATGCAAGTCTGTTCCATTTAACCGTTTTCTTTGACCAAGAAAGAACAGTGTCCTTGTAAGCAAGGCGCCTGGCCTCGCAAGACATCGCCTCGCAAGCTCGCAAGGCAAAGCGTCTTGACATTTAGAAACACCCTTAGGCTCCCTATAGGCAGCTTGAGATGTCTAATGTAGCATACCAAAAAGTCTGTGCCATATTTGACCTTCAATGCTATGCAAATTAGTAATGTTTCAAAGGAAAAGATGGGAAGATAGTGTAACACATCATAAGCTTAGACACACAACCATAAATTTGCTCAGTCTAACCCAGTGGTTCCCAAACTTATTTAGCCGCGCACCCCCTTCTATGTCCCGACCATGTCGACGCACCCCCCAGCCCCACATCAGGGCATGGCTATATATATATATATATATATATATATATATATATATATATATATATATATATATATATATATATATATATATATATATATATATATATAACCAGATAAATATAAATATATTTATCAGATGTCAGGCTAAACAGTCACTCGACAGACAGGGTTAAAAAAATATGATCGACCTTTTCCCCCTTTACTTTCATTTTTATGTTTATGTATTATGTATTATTGAAATAGTAATTAATAAACATTCAATACATTACAATTTCCTTTGATTTAATTTTAAATCAATATTTAGAGTGCCCAGGTAGCACATCAACAATGCAATTTAACGGTTTTCTTAAAGCAGGAACGTTTAACCAGAGCTCTCTCCTTCCTTCTGCATAAACCTGAACTGGTCACCTACTTGTGCGTAATCAAATGTCTACAGGGGAAAAGATGGAAAAGCTATAGCCATGAGGTTCACTTTTGCCTCAGACCGACTTATTGCTGTTTTATGGTGTGGCTGAACCTGCGATCTGCTGCCACGCGGACTGGAATAACAAATGCTGCAGTAATATGAGTTGTAGTCAGGTTCATGAGGAGTCACTGGCTGGAGTTAAGAAATCATACATGACTTTTGGTGTTTCTCAATGTCAGGGCGACTTGTGAGCTTGCGAGGCGATGTCTTGCGAGGCCAGGCGCCTTGCTTACAAGGACACTGTCATTCCTTGGTCAAAGAAAACGGATAAATGGAACAGACTTGCATCACGTGACCGCGGCTTCCACGGCGGTCACGTAATGTCATGTGACACTGGAGATAACGTTATATTTTATACGTATTAGTTTCAATATAAATATATAACGATCCTTTTACTTTTTAAATTGTGTATATGTTTATTAAATTAAATATATAAGTGAGTTACTACCCGCTAGCAACCAAAGCTGCAACTAATAAGCAACCAACCAACAATAGATAACTTCTTTGGATCTAAAAAAAAACATTTTAAATTAGCTGACTTACTTTTAAACTTGAAAATTGTCCCCGAAGTAGCTGCCGGCTTCTGATCCGCCATCTTTTTGAAAATACTGCGGTGTATTGTGGGTAATTTTTGACCAAGGCTGGGCTACAAGACACCTAAGTATCCTTGCTCAGCTAGCTAAACGGCTAGCAAATGGAAAACACACGCCTCGGTAGAACACGAACATTGGAACACGTCTTGGCGGCTCCCGATGACGTATCTCATATAGGCAACCGGGGCGGGGCCAAGACATTAAGGCAAGGTTCCTTGGCATTGAGAAACACTCATGGTTCTTGTAGTCCGGTTGAGAAAATAACTTGCTAGGGCACCTTTAAAGGTTAAAGTGTGCGCGATAGGAGAAATGTGATGATGTTTTTATCTATTTTTAAGAAAGGAGGACCCCACATATATTGGTATTGGCATCAGTGTCCGAAATTAAGAGTTAGACTATACTGGTTTACAGGATATTGGTGAATAAGCCGACATATCAAACATCACAACTTTTTTTTAATCTTGTGCCAATAATTGTTATGAATTTGCTGAGTCTAATGAGTCTGATTAAAAACTGTTGAAATTACACGGTATTGGCTTTACTGTCATGTGAAATGTAAGCTTGTTTCTTTGCCCCAGTTCTAGAAATATGCATAAATAAACGATCGTAGGCTTTACACAAACTGCTTGGTTCTGTCAGAGCGAACTATCAAATTTTGATCATGGCAAACCTTTTTCATAAGTCTTTGATGAGACATCATCAGAGGTCCAGTCCTTGCTGCACAATAAACCTGAGCAGTTCTAAATCAAAAGAGGTTAAAGGGTGATGAATAGTGATAGATAATTCCATCCCATCCCTCCTACTCTCCCTGGATTACTCTCTTACTTCCCTCCAGATCACCTCCCTTCAATCTCCCCATCGCTTAGTCATCACACGGATGTGTCACTGTTTCTATGACTATGGAGGTTCATGCCCATTGAAGCAAAACGAGGGGTTCTTTGGGGTGCCAGGATGCAAGGATGCAAGATTCCCTTCTGTTTACCGCTCCCTTTCTACACAACAGATCCTCCTCATTCCTGACCGATGGCGCCACTTTCCACAGCCAGATCAACGCTGACCACACCTCCACGCCACGGTCGTAAAATCCTCAGGATGTATAAAGGGGGGAACATGAGAAAAAGAGGAACCACAATCTGATCAGAGCAGACGAAGATGGAGCTCTCCATGGTGAACTGGGTGGTTGTGTCTGCGGGGTTCCTGCTGATCTGGGCCAGCGCTGGCTCAGCTGCACCCTTGGAGTGCCACTTCAACTCAAGAGGTCAGTCTCCATTCTTTGAAACTTTATTATTTCCTAAATTGCAGTCGTTCTTTTAAATAAGAAAAATATTTTCCATGTGTCGTCCAAGCGCTGTGTGTGTTCGCGGGGAAGCAGTACTCCCTGGGGGAATCCTGGATGGACGATGCCTGCATGCACTGCACCTGTCTGCACCCTGTTGGTGTCGGTTGCTGTGAGACGTGAGTAACACTAACAGTTGAGAGTGGTTTGGTGTCCAGATGGGCCGTCTGTCAGTACAGGAAAGACAGAGGGGATTATATTTAAATGAGGACATTTGGGGTCTCAAGTTCATATTAATAAAAGTAAAATAAATAAAAAAAGAAACTTATATTGATTTGAGAATGGGGCGGATCTGCTGGGTGGCATAAGGTGGGTACTGCTACCCTAACAGAAAGCCTTGGTACCCCTGTTGCCAGCAGTAAATTCAGTAGCTGTGGCAAACCGGACATTGTAAATGATAACCTAAACCAAATACACATATGGCTATGCAAATACTGATAAATATGCTCCTCTGCCACCTCATAAATGCTTTTCTAGGTCCGCCGCTGTTTGAGAACATAGGATTTTTTTAGCTAAAGTGATCCGAATTCATCTGCATGTTTTAAACTGAAGACTGGTGGTTTTCTTTTATCTAAATAGCTGTTTTGGTGTTAAATAAAGACCCGAAATATACATTTTTAGTGGTGAATAGTCAAATTATTTTCTTAAAAAATTAAGAATTCAGAGTTTTGAATATCGAACAATTTTAAAACGAGCATGAACAGTCTCTGTTTGCATCCAGAGTGCATCGGCCGGTGGACTTCCCCGCCTGGTGTGAGGTACGGGTGGAACCAGTGACCTGCAAAGTGTTTCTGGTCCAGACAGCTGACCCTCGCCAGCTGTGCTACCCAGGTGAAACAAACCAGGATCCGAGCCACGGATCGCTTCACCTGCAGCAGCAGCAGCAGCAGCTTGAGGGTTAGAGACGATTACGTGCACCGGTGAAGTTATTTTAAACACATAATGAACCATTTGTGTGATTCTTGTGTACGCCAGACTTCCGTGTCTCCACACTTTAACGTTTTAAGTGCAGTTTTTATCTCCTTTTGAAGCTTTACATGAAAATAACCACATTTTAAGTGTTTTTATTCCTTTCAAAACATAAACCTGCCTGCATGAACGTTTTAGATGTTGCTTTAGACAGCAGTGCCGCCTTAAATCACTGTAATACCTGCTTATTGTAAATATCAGTTTATATCTTCTTTGCTGTAACCCATTATCCTCCCAAATAAAAGCACTCAGTTATTGCAATAAACATTCAGTTTTATTTTTTTCTCTTGCAGTTCTTAAAGCCTGAAGCAAATAGCTCATACAAGGAAAAAAGGAATCGTTTACACAATGCTTGTTTCATGGATGGAGAGGAAATGAGCTAGCGTGCTAATGCACAAGTTAAACGTGAAATAAATACAAAACAAAAGAGATGCATTCCTTAAAAAGAAACAAATGATTGGTTCAGTAGAGCTACAACACAATAAATGCATTTCGTAATGCGTCTAGAAAATAAGCAGAAACATACAGCTGGTCGTTTGGATCACACACACACGCACACGCACACGCACACACGCACACGCACACGCACACACACACACACACACACACACACACACATTCTGACTTCAAATACGGATGCTGTTGGTCCCTGTAAACTGAGACACGTAGGACGCCAGGGCCGGGTTGGTGGGCAGCACTTTGATGGGCAAATTCCAACTGAAGGTGTCCACGTCCACATGCTCCGCCCCCGCCCAAATGGTGTCCTCTGATTGGTTCTGCAGGACAGTTGGGGCTTCCGTAGGATCCCGGGCGGTGACAAACTCAAAGTGCAGCCGCCAGCGAAGACTCACTGAGGGGTAAAGGTTCAGAAGTCAGTGTGTTACAACAAAAAGGTGATTTATAAACACAAATGTTCACGAATAAAACAACAATGAAACAAACTAGCTACGTATTTTAGACATTTCTGCCATCTTAAAGCTTCTTGGATGGCCTCAGTTTGGAGAAATATAGTTTGTCTGCGTGCCAAAAAATCTGACAGGCATTTGTTTTGGTTTTATGGTGCTTTTCACAGTAGCTAATGATAAATCGTGACATATACGTCACAGTGTGTCCTCTGGGAGGATTCCCTGGGCAAACAAGCGTACTTGTTGCATGGTGCCTATAGGTGTGAGCCTCCTTGCTCCTCACAAAGCTGTAGTTTCATCTCCTAAAGAAGTTAAAACAGGAAGGAACTAAGCACCGCTGTTGGGGAAGGTGCTAATTAGACTCTAGATAACCAGATAATAATAATAATAGCAGTGGTAGGAAGAAGAAAAAGAAGACAAAGACGAAGAACAAGCAGGAGAAGACTGGGCGGTCCTCTGACCAATGTCTGTGCTGAAGCCTGGTGTGACGTTGAGGGGGACGGGCAGAGAGAAGTGACTGGAGGCCGTGTGGAGACAGGACTCCAGGTGTCGTCCATGTCCCGTCACACTGATGGCCTGACCGGGTCGTCTCTGGTACTGCTCCTGGATCTCCTCCTCACTCTGAAGGCTCACTGAATACTAAGCGCAGCCAGAATTTCAGAGCCATTACATTAGGAGTAAACGTGGGACATGAAGTAAAAGCACCACACACCTGTAGGCAGGGAATGTCTCCCTCGGAGAAGTTGAACGTGCCGACGACGTCCTCTCCGAGTCTGTAAACGGTCTTGAAGATGCAGAACTTTGCCACTTTTCCGCGCATGTTGGTGATATTAAACATGTCTGGAGGTAAAGAACAAAACAACACAAAAAAGGCTCAAAGTTCTACAGAAAAATTCACAATAACAGCAGAATTAAGATTGGTCTGGAGAAGAGAAGCAGGATAGAGAGGCAGGCTTACGAGGGCAGCGCCTAGAGGTGGTGACCATCAGCATGTCCAGTGCTCTCTCTAGAGCCCGCGCGTCCCTGCGACTCGCTTCTTCTTCCTCCAGAAACGGGTTGGAGGGGGAAACCTCTTCATCCTGAGGAAACGGAGGCTCTGGCATTCCTGCGATTTGGAAAACACTCAAATTCTCATTTGATTCCTTATGAACAAAAACAAACTCCTGTCTCCTTGCGCAGGAAAGCTGACCCAAAAACGTGGTTCTAAATGTGAGAACAGTGGGAACTGAGATAAAAAAATGTGGTCTAGATTAAGCTCACCCTGCAGAACCAGCACTCTGAAGGGAACTCGGAGCAGCTTGATGGGAGAGTTGACCCTCTGGCAGCCGATGGTCAGTTTGTAGACGTACTTCACCGCCTGGCCGCGAAAACTAGGAGGTCCGTCAACGGGAACCATCTCGCTGTACGAGTCTGTGACGGATTCATGAATGGAAACAGTCCTGTTAAAAGGTTATGCTAATTAAAGACAAACAAGTAACTGATTATTAACAATGACACACCAGAAGTGATAAAAGTGCATTATTCAGATATTCTTAAACCATGGTAAAAATGCGGAAAGTCTCTGTGCTCTGTTTTTCTAACAGTTATCTGATTCAGTGACAGCCAAGTCACCTTTGTTTAGGTACTTTGTAGTTCTGCAACATGTGTGTTAAGGGAAGATTATGAGGCAGTTTCCAGACTATAGTCGTGATTGCTTGATGTCAGCACGGAGGTGGTAGGGTGATGATTGGGACTCCAAACACCTTTCAGGACTACAGTAGACCATGAACAATTCTCTACACCAATGCAGAAGTCTGATTTTTATTTCATTAGTAGTGGCAAAATGTACAACCCTAGTGTTTGCCTTCCCTCATCAACTTCCTATTTGTTTTTGAATTGAACGTAATATATTTAAAAGTTTTTACTGGTCTCTTCATATTCACACATTGGTAAGAGAATTCTGGTCAAACGAGTGGCAGAGGCAGACCGAGACATCGCAGATGTAAAACAGAATGCTGCTGTAAGTCATTCATCTCCTCTGCAGTAAGAGTTTATAACTCCTCAGTTTAACTGGAACTGGCATTATCCTGGTACACAATAACATCAATACTATATTCAGTAGGGATGCGAATCTTAGAGCAACTCACAATTTGATTCGATACCGATTCTCGGGGTGCCGATTCGATTCAGAATCAATTCTCAATTTAAATCGATTCACAATCAGTATTAACAAAGAGTGTCAGCTCCAGGATGAACTACTTTGTTGTACAAGTTAGTTAAAGCTATGGGACATTTTTATTTGACTTTAAACAAGTCGTGCTCCAAAAATGCTAATTTACTATGTAAAATAGAGTGATTCTAAAACTGTAAACAGAAACAATCTTTCGACCAAAAGGCAACATTTATTTTTGCTTACCGTGTAAAATATAACACATCTGTAGTTGCCTAACAGTAGCTTTGAAAGTAATACAGTCAAATACTTTTCAAGTATGTGTAGAAACAAGTTACATGAGTAATCCTGAGTACTCATTTATCAACTTAGAAAATAAATATGAGAATATCTCAAATTTCTGAGTATGGAAAAAATTACATTCTAGTGCCCTCTTATCAGCAGATTCAAACATAAATCATCTCAATTTATGGGACCACAAAAGTAAACGGAGTACTGACTCTCCTAACAAAGACCAAAAAAGTGCATCTCAAACCTGTAACATGCCAAATATTTCAGTTCTTGGAATCGATTCTGAATCTTTGTGAAACGATTTTGAATCTTTATAAATAAGAATCCCGATTCAGACTTGAATCAATTTTTTTCAGCACCTCTAACATTCAGTATGTGTTCGATACTTGTGTAATACCTGATGCACATTAGTATGTCTGTGTTTCTTATGCTGCATAGTTCTGGAAACACAAGTTTCCTTTTTATTCCTTGTTTTTAGTGGTTGAAGGTTACAATAATAGCTTACTGCCTTTGTGTGTTTACCTTTAATCTTGTTATTATTTTTCTTCCTTTTCTCTAAGTTCATGCGCTGCTGTAGCGAGTGACTTTCCCCACTGTGGGATTAATGTTCTATTCTAAATCATCTAAAATAAGGCGGCTGTCCAAAATGAAGGTATCAGTTATATACATGTGTGCACAGACAACAGAGCTAACCAAATCTCTGTTAAGAACTTTGTGATTTTTCCTTTGGGTTCAGATTTGATAAAACATGGTGTTTTATTCAGTTAAAGGTGCATTATGTAGAAATGAAGTAAAAATGACATCCGGTGGTAAAATGTGGTAACTGCAACCAGTTTAAACAACTCTGGAGCTTTTTGCCGGCTGTCGTCAAATTACAATTGTCGGCGCTGCAGTATAGGTGACGTGGCAACCCCACACTCGCTGTTGGTAAACAGTAATTACGTCTAGGGTTGTCACAGTGAGAAAATTTATCCTCACGGTTATTGTGACCAAAATTATCACGGTTTTCGGTATTATCGCGGTATTTTTTTAAACGTGTTACATTCTCAGACAACTAAATAAACCCTGTATGTCAGGAAAATATTGTCCTCAGTTTGTGTCGAAATTTTGCCTACAATTTGTTATTCTGTAATTATGTTATTTGTTTACATTTTTCCCTTTTAGTCTTTAAAATACCAATATTTGCCCATAACTTCTTATTTTTGTCTGTTTGATGTCATCATTTGAAAAATATTAGACCAGATGATACTCAGTACTCAAGTAGCCTTCTAATCAGATACTTTTTTACCCTTACTTGAGTAATAATCCCTATATCAGGAAATATTGTCCTCGGTTTGTGTCCTTCCGGTGAGCTTTGCAGATTTGGGAAAATGTCATAAATTCATAATTATTCTCGGAGAGAGACAAACTCTTATCTGTCCCTGGGAGCCCCGTAATGCATAACGTCATTTCAATATGGGGGTGTCCGTGACACGGTTTATATGCAGGTAGCGGCGCTGCGGCTAGTTTATATAGTGACTCGTTGCATTCTCCCTCAACCCAAATCCTCGGATTACGCATTTTAGCTAAAACGCTAGCGTTAACTTGCCTTGCGTTGACTGTAGAGTTGTGGGTGATGGTCACGCAGATGTGTCATGAGATTTGAAGAGTTGCTGCCTTTCACAGACACTTTTTCTGCACGTGCTGCAAACAGGATAGCCGTCTTCTATAAACTGTCCCTCGGCATTCTTTAAATATCCAAAAATCGCCCATACTTCCGACTTTATCTTCTTTGAGCGATAATGAATGTCCTGAGCGCTGCCGTCTCCTCCTTTAGCCATTATTTCAGCTTTAGCTTCAAGAAAGTTTTGGTTGTAAACAACAAAGCGCGCATGTGCCGCCGGCAACTTCAGCAGATGATAGGGTGGCTGGTAAGGGTCACTGCGCCTACACCGCAGCCACGGTAAACCCACCGAGATAATATATATATTATTTAAATTATGACGGTTATTATTATTGTCAACTTTTTTACTGGGGTTTAGTGTTACACCGGTTACCGTGACAACCCTAATTACGTCCCTCCTTCCTTTGTTTTCAAAGGGAAAAAAACTAACAATCCCCGCAGCCAGCTGGATATGAAATATGTTTTGGTATAACCTTCCTTCCAAAATGTCTGAAAGATTACACTCTTTTGGGATTCTCTCACTGTAAAATTCTCACTATGTTTTTACATATTGCACCTTTAAAGTAAAAATGTATGTCATGTTTCAATCATACAGTCCAGTTTTTCCTTTACTCTTACTGTTTCTTATATTCCAACTTCAGAATACATTTTAATTGGTTGTTTGACTACATAAGAAAGCCACTTGATTAACTCAAGTTGTTGGGGTATTTCTTAAAACAACATAGCACATTCCTGTACTCTAGGTCCTTCACCGCGATGTGAGGAACTGATGAGATCAAAGAGAACATGTGCTGCTAAAAGAGGTTCTACAAGCTGATTATGGGTTTTCTAAGAATTGGAAAATAAAATGACACCCATTAAAAAATACATACATGTTTTACTTTCTCCAGGGTCCAGGCGCAAGTCACAGAACAAAATCTTTGGAGGTGTGTCCAGCACACATTGCCCTCGCTCTCCTGCAGAAAATGTCCTTGTTATAAAACTTTTATAAATCAGAAGTCTCAGAGAAGAATGTAAAATGTGGGCTAATCTGGGACTCTTGTGCTCCGTCATTCTCACCTCTGCTAGGAATCAGCACAGTGTCGCTGTCAGCCTGGACGTCTTGTTTGTTGCCCTGAGCCGGCAGGGCCACTCGGTTCTCACTGGCATGAAATTGACAGTGGATCTGGGCACTGGCCCATGCGAGCATCTCACTGTGACACAGGCAGGGTGAGTGACTAAATTATTCATTCATAAGTCTAAGTGGTCCAAAATGTCAGAAACAAACAACAAAATGAGGATTGATTTACTCTAGGTTTCAAAGTTCTATTGATGTATACATTCATGTGGACACAAATCAACATCAACAACTTCAGACGTCAACAGATTTGACTAAAGACTGGGATCTATGGTTATGTTAGTCAGCAAGAAGGCTAAATTATCTTATTTTTAAACGCTCGTACAGATAGTAATGTGACAGGTCAGTATCATACCTGCTTGCAGATGTGGATAGGTGGGACATGGGGTTGGTGAACGTTATGAGACACTCCATTAGCTCCCCGGCCAGAAACACGGGGCCTCGGGCCATGGAGGCCACCACCTCGATCATCTGCAGCATTAAAAGCAAAGCGAATAATCACAAATAATCGACCATCTTCACATAAGACAAACACACACTCGGATTTGAAATTATTTTTTGAGTATTTTGTATGAATGGATCTCCATCCGTCCGTCAGCACAGGCAAACGGCAATTAGCTGAAGTCTATTTTTTCCTAAAAAGTTATTTTATTACATACCTCGGCCTCAAACGAGACTGCGAATTAGTTCAACGTGTGTCTAAATTTACTACTCTGAAATAAAAGTACACAGTCTGACATTACATTCTATGTATTTGGACATACTAGCTAAACTAGACGGCTGCGAGCTACCGTAAACATAACAAAATGTACATGGTCTGCTGACGCTACTGGACAACAAATCACAACTCAGAGGAAAACAGAGTGGTCCTAAAATTTAGTCATATAAATAAATATTCATTTGGGATTATCAATAGCTAAAATACTAACAAAAGATCTAACAATTCTTGTTTTATTTTCAAATTCTATTCAATTAAAAGTCACAAATAATTGCAGGAATAGTTTTTCGTTGGCCTTTGTTTTGACTACTAGCATTGAAAGTCAGACGTTGCTACCATTAACTCGTGGGGAGGAAAATACTAAACATTTCACAATAAATAATAAATGTGCGCTATTCTCATCACGAATTCATAAAACGTTTTAATTAAATGCACGTTTTTTCAAATTCGCCAAATTATACTAATTTTGTCAAATGGAGGAGGAAAAAAACAGAATTAGCCAAATCCCCCCTTTTATGGTTCAAAATGGTAGCGCCTCTTTCGGTTGTGGGCTATACATTCCGAAGTAAATTTGGCCAGGCCGTACCTTCTGACAACAAAATGATTTTTTACAACAATCAATGAAGTACGTATAACCAGTATGCTGAACATTGGGTTCACCTTTCCTGTAGAGATGGTTTATTCTCAAACAAGGCTCGTTTATTAAAGTGTGTGTCTGAAAGTCAAGGAAAAGGGTAAAATTTAGCGCTACAGTAACCCATTAAGAATTTACGTGTAGAGCGAAGCGCTACAGAGGCTACACTGGTCGTGTTTGAGCGGTATATTGCGCTGTCGCACAGGTTAATTCTAAACTACCATCTACAATTTATTGATGCTGGCTGCTAGTAAACAACTCCGATTGTTCGTATAAGCTTTAAAGAAATGCTTTGCTGTTATTAAATGTAGTGTAAGCGAGGTAATAAAAATATTGATTTTCAGTTATTTGCCGGTTACTGAGAGAAAAGGCTTGCAACAACATTTTGTCCCTCCTTTAACTTTTGTCATATCTTTTTCACAATTTAGTTGCGCTCTCTGATGTCATTGCAGATGTTCCTGCTAAGTGATTGAGACATCTTCTGTACTTCCTGTTGCTCGCAACCCTTCAGCCATCCAATCTAGTCTCTACTTGGTGCTGTCAGCTCCACAGTCACACCCGGACCCATTCGAGGGATGCAGAGCGGTCTAGTTTGAGGACCTTAAAATGGCACCAGGGCCTCCACCTTGACCAGGATTACTCACTGAGAACCGGTTTATGATCCCTCACACTGCTCACTCAGCACACCTGTAACTACCTCCTCTCTGTTTTCTCCCCATGGTCAAAGCACAGTTGTGTTTACCAAAGGTGGTGGCAGCCTTCTGTCAAGTATTTTTGGCTCCCTTCCACCAACTTAAAAATCTTTAATTCCATTTTTCCCACTATAAACCTAGTTTAAATATGACTTCAGATTGGGGAGAGAAATCCTCAGCAGAGCTTATGAGCAGGTATGTCTCCAAGGAAATGGGATACAGGGTGCCCAGGGAAGGTTGGCGAATCTGTTTGGCGCATGAGTTCACGGAAAGGAGGAAGCCCTTTCAAGCAAAAGATGTGTCGCTTTCTAATGTCTGGGACCACATTGGCCTTGGAATCAGGTGAGACATATCTCATTTTAGCATCTAGCAATGATGTCATATTTTAATCTCTTTCTTGAAGTGAGATCACGATGCATGCACATTTCAGACTTAAGTTTGTTTTTGAAAACTTTTGCGATTTGCAACATCACTAGCTGAAGTGGCTGAAACTATGACGTTTGAGATTAACTTATGCTTTAACGTTGTTCACTCAGTAAAAATACTCCATAGCATCAGATTTATTTATGTTTAATTAAGGGCAGCCACATACTGTGTAAACAATACAATGCTACTCTTATAAACAACAGTCTGTGCTTATGCTGACACAAAGCAATGAGAAAAAGACAAGGCATTATCTATCCAGCCATCCATTCATTTTCCTCCGCTTATCCGGTTTCGGGTTGTGGGGACAGTAGCCTAATCAGGGAGGTCCAGACTTCCCTCTTCCCAGCCACTTGGTTCAACTCCTCCGGGTGAATCCCAAGGCATTTCCAGGCTAGCTGAGAGACATTGTCCCTTCAGAGTGTCCTGGGTCTTCCTTTAGGCCTCCTCCTGGTTGGACGTGCCTGGAAAGCCTCACCAGGGTGATGCCCAAGCCACCTTAACTGGCACCTCGATGTGGAGGAGCAGCTGATTTTCTCCAAGCCTCTCCTGGATGACTGAGCTTACCTATCTCTAAGGGAGAGCTCAGACACCCTGCGGAGAAAACTAATTTTGGCCACTTGTATCCGTGATCACATTCTTTTGGTCACTACTCAAAGCTTGTGACCATAGGTGAGGGAGGAAATGTAGCTCAACCAGTAAATCCATAAATTTGCCTTCTGGCTCAGCTCTCTTCACCACGACAGATCGGTACAACGCCCGCATCACTACAGACACAGCATCATCCCGCCTATTGATCTTGCGCTCCATCTTTCCGTCACTTGTGAGCAGGACCCTGAGATATTTAAACTCCTCCACTTGAGGCAGGACCTCGTCCCTGACCCGGAGAAGGCGTTCTACCATTTTCCAACTCAAGACCATGGTCTTGGATTTAGAGGAGCTGATTCTCAATTCAGCTGCTTCACACTCAGCTGTGAACCACTCCAGCGGGGAGCTGGAGATCACTGTCTGACGAGGCGTTATTAGCTACCTAATGCTTACAAACGCTAGTTATGCTAATGCTAATGCAAGAGCTGGCATTAGCAGAAACATGTAATCACTGACTAACAGTAAAGTCACCTTGGCAGATACAAGCTACAGACAGTCATCAAGTTAAGAAATCATACATGACTTTGGGTGTTTCTCAATGTCAAGGCGCCTGGCCTTGCGAGATGTCTTGCGAGGCCAGGTGCCTTGCTTACGAGGACACTGTCCTTCCTTGGTCAAAAAAAAAAACAATTAAATGGAACAGACTTGCATCACGTGACCGGTCACGTAACGTCACGTGACACGGGAGATAACATGTTTTATACGTATAAGTTTCAATATAAATATATAACAAGCCTTTTACTTTTTAAATTGTAAGTATTGGTTAAATTAAATATGTAAGCGAGTTACTACCCACTAGCCACCGAAGCTGCAACTACTAAGCAACTAACCAACCGTAGATAACATTTTAGATATCAACCCGTCAATCTGTGTTTTAAAAAGAACTGAAAGATGGAATCAACCCGATAGCTACAATTAGTTGACTTACGTTTAAACTTTAAATTAGCCCCTGAAGTAGCTGCCGGCTTCTGATCCGCCATCCTTTTGAAAATACTGCGGTGTATTGTGGGAACTTTCTGACTAAGGCTAGGCTACAAGTCACCTCCTGTGCATTCTTGCTCAGCTAGCTAAACGGCTAACAAACGGAGAACCGATGCCTCGGTAGAACATGAACATTGGAACACGTCTTGGCGGTTCCTGATGACGTATTTCCTAGGCAACCGGAGCGTGACCAAGACATCAAGGCAAGGTTCCATGGCATTGAGGCCCTTTGTCTCACAAAAAGTGATCAGGCTTAGTGTGTGTCACATCTAAACTGGTCCGGGCAGAAACAGTCCAAAAGCATGCTCTAATCTCGGTCTTAAGCACTACAAATTATTCTACAATCAACATATTTGAATTCCTAATTTTACTCATCTATATGTCACAGTCACCTTTAGGCTGTTTGATAGAGGGCGTTCAATATGTTTTTTCTATAGGTCAATGTCAAGTTTATTTATATAGCATATTTAAAGACATGTAGACAACGCCAAAGTGCTGAACAAGGCTAGGAAAAACACAACACAATCAAGAACAAATTGCGGTTGAAATTTGTAAAAACAAATGCATTTAATACTAAAAGCATATACGCTAAAAACACAAGTCAAATTAAAGCTGTAAGCAGCGTTGTTCGGTCCTCGCAGCTCCGCGCCGCTCTGTCCTGGCCGGCAGCCAGGTCTGCTCGTCCGCACCTCACCCTGACTCAGCATCTCCTCTGAGCCCACACTTCCTGTTGTCAGGGGGCGGGGCTTAGGTGATCTCAGCTCTCCAAATTGTCATCGTCTTGACATGTGGTCTGTGATCACACAGACAAAGTTTGATATAGATCTGATCATGTGCATGGGAGTAATTACGTCAATGAATGTAATGGCGAAAGGTCAATGTTTGCAGCTTAGCCACGACCACACCTTTTAACTTTTGAAAAATCCGACGGTTAAATTTCTTCCCCTATGTCTTAAGAGTATATAGCAGAAGTTTAAAGATGATCGTTGAAAAGGGTGACGAGGCATCACTCTCCAAATGACGTGTGCGAAAACCACTAAATCGAGTATTTGGACCAAAATGGCCGACTTCCTAAGCAAAATGGCCGACTTCCTAAGCAACATTAAGCAAGAGACTTTTTTTTGTAGGTCCTGAGACACTACATTAGTGTACCAATTTTTATAGTCCTCTGTCAAAGCATGGCTTGGGGCTGAGTTTTAATGGTCCTAGGGGGCGCTATTTCAGAAAATAGGCCACGCCCACCAACCTATACCATTCATTTGTATTGGGGGGTCAGACTAGGATCACTCACCAGCAATTTCATGGCGATATGATAACTGAGGAAATGAGAGGCAAATGTATTTCCATGGCGTGATAGCGAATTTCGCCATGCTCCCAAAGCCTCGCTTTTTTTTGAAACCTGCCAGTACTGGAGACCAAGTGACCTCAACTTGTCTACTGCTATTTGCCAGAGATGCTGGTGATTGGGTGAAAGGAGTCCTATAGGGAGCTGTGAAAAAGAGTGGCGCGGTCACAGGTCAAAGTTTGAGGCTTAAACTTTAGAAAAATCCAACGGTTGAATTTGTTCCCCTATGTCTTAAGAGTATATAGCAGACATTTGAAGGTGATCGGTGAAAAGGGCGACGGGGCATCATTCTCCAAACAACGTGTGCGAAAACCACTAAAGTAATTGGCGAGTAATTGAACTTTGAGGCTTGGCCACGCCCCCTCAGCATATACAAAAAGTCAGTTTTATTTTTTCTATTTGATCGCCCATCCCTTCTGAGCAATTTCCCACAAATTTCGAGACGATCTTGTGAAAATGTTCAAGTAAATCAATCAGAAGCGGACCCTAAAAACGGCCAAAACGGGTAAAAATCGCCATTTCAGCCCAAAATGGCCGACTTCCTGTTTGATGTTGACCATGGTTGCAAGAGGCTTTTCTTTTCGGACTGCTGAGTACTACAAGTGTACAAAATTTCATAACTGTACGATAAACTAAGGGGGTATTTTTCACATTCTAGGGGGCACTATGAATTAGTTTTATTGCGATTTATTTGGGACCTTTAAAATACAAAATTTCACACCACGCCTGACATGTGTGCAAAAATTTCTGAGTTTTCGGGTATGTTAAGGCCTCCAAAAAGCCAATTTACTTGGCAGAAGAAGAATAAACAGAGCAAATACAATAGGCCTTCGCAGCGCTTTCGCTGCTCGGGCCTAATAACACAAAAGTGAACTAATCAAGTTAACCTGCATTAAAAGCCAGATCAGTCAAGTATGTTTTAAGCTTTGAAATGCATTACTTGGGTGATGCCAGTCTTTTGATTGCCTGCATTTGGTATTCTTTTTCCAAATAGTGATGGGAATTATGGCTCTTTTTAGAGAGACTGTTCTTTTGGCTCAGCTCACCAAAAAGAGCCGGCTCTTTCGGCTCCCAAGTGGCTCCTCGGATTTTCTGTTGCGTAGAGTACAATTATAACCAAAATAATGCTAAACTATATGTAAACTAATTTACTAATGTAAAAAAAGCAATATATCAAATATTTATCATTTCTATGGATTTAATAACTGAACACTTTAAGAAATCTCCACTTTCCGACTTCTGGCGCTCATTTTCTCACCGTCTTCGTCGCACTCTCCTCTCTCTCGTTCGCCTTTTTCCTCCTCCTCATTCCCTCTCGTCTCCCTCCTCCCACATGTGCTCTGCTGTGTGTCTGAGTATGATCCTCCCTCTTCCCCGCCCCCTACTTCTCTGTGTGTGGACAGTCTGGACACGCAGTTACACATGTTGACCAATCGCCTGTGGCTTTCACCGGGGCAGGGGGGAGGGGGGAGGGGAAGGGACGACTCCCAATGACGAGCCGGCTCCCGTCGTTCACTTCAAAGAGCCGGCTCTTAGAGCCGGTTCGTTCGCGACCGACACATCACTATTTCCAAAGGTCTATGAGCTTTAGAAATATACTAACTTTTAGTCCTCCGAAATTACTGTAAAACTGCTCCGGCAGTGAAGAACGTACATGTGATCATTAACAGCCCCACAAACAGGAGCATTACATTTGCCTTTGAAATATCAAAACTTGGCTTTAGCTGCAGTTAATGGCTATAAATTCTAAATTCTGACTCAATTTGGTTTCAAACTGCAGAGTTTGTAGTTTTAAGATGGTCTTTTTTTATAATTATGACACAGCAGTAGTTGGATCGGAACCAAGTCCAAAAATAACATGTAAACAAACAAGATGTACTTTTCCTAGAACTATTAAGATTTCCAGGAAAGGTTTGAGCCATTAGAACAGAGTTGTTTCACCGTATTATGTCCAGTAAAACAAACTCTACACTCCCTCTATACCTCTTTTCTATCTCTCTCTGGGTGTGTTTTGCTGACTATTGTCGCCATGGCAGTACAGGTTAATTATTACAAAGTTTAAGAGACCTTCAATATATACTAGAGTTACATTGTTCAGAAAGAGAAGTTGGCAGCTTTAGAAATGTTGAGTATGACTCAGATTAGCGGTTTGGGCTGTTTTCTTCACAGATCCGGAACATTGCTTGCATTTTCAGCAGGGCAACATTGTCAGGACAATAACGCAGCCTGCTGTGGCTTCAAATAACATGCTTCAATTGATTCCATTCTTCTTTGCCCGAATGGAGCTGAGCTGCCTAGAGGGGCCTTTTTTGTGAAATGTTGAGGTCTGTTTTGTTGCCCCGTTGTCAGACACAGCTGAGATTTGTAAAATTTCAACTGTTGATGAACCTGAGGTATCAGCATTGATGAGCTTCGTTAAAGCTGCAATCCAGATTTTTTTTCCCTTTCAGGAATTATGTATGATTTTTCAGAAATCCATAGAGGTGATTCTTATGCACTGTGATATAGGGCCGGGTGATATGGCCTAAAATCAATATCACCGTATACTGAGGAGTTCACCTTGATAACGATAATTACGTTTATGTGCAAAAACAAAGTTGTCCACTAGATGGGGCTGTCATGTATATTGTGTAGAGTCACATTATCATTGCTAGCTCACACACATCTTTTCATTTTTTTTATTACCAAATTTATTGACATGGGAAAAATTATATCGGTTAAAGTCAGAAATTTTGATAACAATAAATTTTCGGTTTATCGCCCAGCCCTACATTGATATGATGTAGGCTAGGGCTGGGCAATGATTCAAAACGATACTTCACAATCCGATAGGCTATAATGCAAAATGGAACATTTTTATTGATCCATTTATTTTTCTATTGCACCTCCTGTCTATTGATTAGGGTGCAATAGAAAAATTAATGGATCAATAAAAACTTCAATAAAAATGTTCCTTTTTCCATTATAGCCTATCTGATTGTTTCATACTAGAGTCAATATTTTCACCTAACCAATCAAAATCACAGACCCAAGCATGCTTCGTCACCAAGCCCTCTCCTCTCAAACCAAAACAGACAGCAATGCGACCTAAACAAGATGTTGCAGCAAGAAGAGGTGGAAGAAATCTATCCATCCATGCTCTTCTTATCATGAGGTGGAAGAAATTGTGCCAAAATAAGGTTACAGTACTTTACCAGTGTGACAATATTTTAAGTCCTACAAGTCTGACAATAAACATACAGTGGTTTGTAAAATTTGCAGAGAATCGATAAAAACCAAGTCTGGTAATCCAACCGACCTGTTTTATCATAAATAATTACATAAAATGGCCAAAGCTTCACTTGAAATGTATTTTCTGCATTTTTCATATAGTTATCAATAATTATTGATACTGATACATTTTTTTAAATCAATAAGCTTTTTTTGTGTATTATCCAGCCCTAATTCAATTCAATTCAATTCCATTCAAAAATACTTTATTAATCCCAGAGGGAAATTAGAGTTTCAGTACACACAATTCTGAGATCAGACATGCATAGCCATAGACACATGACAAGAATTGGTGACTGTGGTCATTCGCAACCCGAGTCGCGCTACCTTAATATAGATCAGAGGGTTTATATGAGGATTGGTTCAGGTGGAGGAAAAAAAGGCACTTCAGAGTTACCCTCCACAGGTAGGGCAGCTTTGCCATGCAAAAAACACCTCAGACAGAAATGCAACAGACTTCAGACATTACACAACATAAGTGTCCACTAGGTGGGGAGGTAGGGTTGGGGACTCTCCTCACATCAGTGCATGCAGCCGCGATAAGCAGCGCTCGTCACCTCCGTTTGGACAGGGGAGGGAGGTATTTGGGTTAAAAAGCACATTGACTCCTGGAAACACAGGAGTCACTGTTGTTACACAGGAGATGACGTATGTCTTTTACTAGTTAAGCAACTGGAAATCTGCACATGACTTTTATTTTGATAGTTTCCAGGTGTGTAACACAGCTTTTTGGTTTGACATCCTGTCTGACCCGATCTGAACTGCAGCGTTCTGGAATCGTATCCATCCATCCATTTTCTTCCACTTATCCGGAGTCGGGTCACGGGGGCAGTAGCCTAAATCGAGAGACCCAGACTTCCCTCTCCCCAGCCACTTGGGCCAACTCCTCAGGGGGAGTCCCAAGGCGTTCCCTGGCCAGGTGAGAGACATAGTCTCTGCAACGTGTCCTGGATCTCCCTTTAGGTCTCGTCCCGGTTGGACGTGCTCGGGAGAACCTCACCAGGAGGCATCCTGACCAGATCCCCGAGCCACCTCAACTGGCTCCTCTCGATGTGGAGGAGCAGCAGATCTACTCCAAGCCCCTCCCGGATGACCGAGCTTCTCGCCCTATCTCTAAGGGAGAGCCCAGCCACTCTGCGGAGAAAACTCCTTTTGGCTGCTTGTATCCACGATCTCGTTCTTTCGGTCACTACCCAAAGCTCGTGACCATAGGTGAAGGTAGGAACGTAGATCAACCGATAAATCGAGAGCTTCGCCTTCTGACTCAGCTCTCTCCACCTCAACAGACCTGTACAACTCCCCCATCACTGCTTAGGCAGCACCAATCTGCCTATCGGTCTCGCGTTCCAGTTTTCCCTCACTCGTGAACAAGACCCCAAGATACTCGAACTCCTCCACTTGGGGCAGGACCTCATATGGAGAAGGCATTCTACCCTTTTCTGACTCAAGACCATGGTCTCAGATTTAGAGGAGTTGATTCTCATCCCAGCTGCTTCACACTCGGCTGCAAACTACTTCAGCGAAAGCCGAAGATCACGTTCTGATGAAGCCAACAGGACCACATCATCCGCAAAAAGCAGAGACCCGATTCTCAGGTGACCAAAACAGATGCCCTCAACACCTTGGCTGCACCTAGAAATCCTGTCCATAAAAGTTATGAACAGAATCGGTGACAAAGGGCAGCCTTGGCAGAATCGTAGCATTTAAAAAATAGAACTGAAACGTAAGCAACACATCCCTATGCTTCTGGGACGCAACCGTCCACTGTAATGGCAGCTAATTGCTGCGAAGTACGTTTTATGGCCATTACGCTTAAAAGTCCGGTGGAAAAGAGGGATGAGATATGTCATGTTGCCTAGCAACTGTGACGGCGTTAAACAGAAGTAGAAAATAAAGTTATCGGCCATACATCAAGTAATACAGGACCCTTCATACAAGCTCATTTGAGGATTTATTTTCTTTTTTTGACACCACCCCCTAATATTCAAACTACTTAAGCCAAACAACACAACCACTTTACGTTGAAGGTAGTTTAAAGGTTATTAAATTGGTTTTTCACAAACATAAATGCCATTTTCTAGTCAAAAGAAATCTATTTTAGTAATGCTGTAACTGTTAGCTCTGGTGAAACTAATTTATTTCTCTAAACTGACTCTGTTAGAAAAGTTATATACAGCAGATAAATAAATTATTTAATTAATTAATTATTCCTCGTGAACTTGACCTAGACCCTTCCCCCACTAACTACCTGAACTAGGCGTAGACTGATATATCGGCCTACCAAGTGCTGCTACAGAATAGAATAAAAATTTATATTTACGTTTCTGAATAACATCTGCTTAATAAATGCTCTAAAAATTATTTTCAACTCAAATTTCTAATTAAGTACCTATTTTGATATTTAATACTTGGTCGGTTAATTATTTTTCTTTTGTTATACGTCTGATTCCAACACTGAGCAGCACACAAAATTAAGACGTAACAGTTGGTTAAATCCAGAATTGAAAAGCTGAATAAGACTAAAGCATTTTGTGCATCAGCTGTTGTTATTAGTGACATTAAGGCATGAAAGTAAGGTAGACAATGTCTAGATATCGGCCATGAAAATCATCCCAAAATATCTGCAGCACATATCGGCCAGTGGCTGAACATGACCTCTACGCATCGGCATCAGTATCTGCAATAGGAAAAACAATATCGATCGACTTCTGATCTGAACTGTTGCTTCAAATATATTTAGAGCTTTGAATCTTGTATTTCTGTGCCAAACGTGTTGCATCTAAACTAAAACCAGCAGTTTTCCTCTTCCCCGTCCCCTGTAGCTCTCAGAACTCCAGCATGACTCAGACCAGAGTTTGGATCATAAACAGATTATTGACTCTATTGCAGAACTGCTCTCTGGGAGTTGTTGACATGGCCTTTTCTGTTAGCCGAGCTCAGATAGAGTAGATCTGCCACTAGACATTCGCTGCCCTCATTTTGTAAATCTGTGTTCCTGTTGCACAATTCCCTCTTTTTCTCTGCCGGTGTGTGAGTCTAATGTTCGAATATTGGCTGAGAGGGCGTAAAGCCTCAATCTCTTGGCGCTGATTTTAACTGAGTATGAACAGACTTTAACAGTTGCTTTGTTTCTGTTCTGGTTCTTCTTGATTATTCCTACCAGGTATCTAAAATGGTGGTACAAGAAGACTCAGGTGGAGAAGAAGGCTCCGTTCATCGACATGTTTCGCGCCCAGCCATTGCATCAAATATATGGTGAGTGCAGTTCTGTTTTACAAAAGGTTATATTATTAGTGACCATTTACAGTGCTCTTTATTGGGAAAATGTGTATTTGAATATTATAATTTGCGTCAAAACACAGGATTTTAGATGGAGGCATGTTGGAGGCAGGGCAAGGGAGCGCTGTCGTTACCGACTGTACACTCCACCTCCCTGTACTCCCCCACTTGTCCAGATTTAGGCTATCATTAGATTTTAACCATAGGCCCTATCAAATAAAAACGTTTTAAGCCTAGTCTTAAAAGCAGACAAGGTGTCTGCCTCACGGACTAAAACTGGGAGCTGGTTCCACAAGAGAGGAGCCTTATAACTAAAAGATCTGCCTCCCATCTAATTTTTAGATATTCTTGGAACCACCAGTAGACCTGCAGTCTGAGAGCGACGTGCTCGGTTAGGAACATATGGAACAATCAGATCACTGATGTATGATGGAACTTGATTATTAAGAGCTTTATATGTGAGAAGGAGGATCTTAAAATCTATTCTGAATTTAACAGGTAGCCAGTGTAGGGAAGCTAAGACAGGAGAGATATGATCTCTCTTTTTAATTCTCATCAGAACTCTAGCTGCAGCATTTTGGACAAGCTGAAGACTTTTAACTACATTCTGTGGACTTCCTGAGAGTAATGAATTACAGTAATCCAGTCTTGATGTAATAAATGCATGAACTAGTGGATGATCATAAGCCCTTCTTGCCTGAGCAGTTTGGGATTATTATTTAATGAGCTTTTATTCTTTTGTCTGTCTTACAGGTGTTCCCCTTGGGGGCATTGGAGGAGGAACCATTACGAGAGGCTGGAGGGGGGAGTTCTGCAGATGGCAGCTGAACCCTGGGATGTACCACTACAAAACTGTCATAGCTAACCAGGTAACTGACATTGTACTGGGCACCGACCTGCAAGTGTACATTCACATAAATAAAGATGGAGGACACATCAGTGAAGCTATAATATTTTATGTTGCATACCTCATGTAAATATCAAAAAGATGCCCCATTTATTTACGTCCCTCAGTTGAGTTCAGCTGAAACAATGATGTGTTGCCCACATATATGCCTGGTTTTAATCAACTTACTACAAGCTGAAATGGACATTGTCAGTTACTTAAAAGTAAAAAAATAATAATAATAATTAATTAATAAATTAATCTGAATTTCACATCTGCATCAGCCATAGAAATGGTAGGGAAACGATCAGGTCAGATAAAGCCAGGCTCCTCTATGTGACAGGAAAAGCTGGAATTCATGGTCTCGTCCACCTTGGCTTGTGACTTGTGACCGCGCACTTCTCAGCTAATAGAAGCTAGCCTTTTGCAACTCAACAAGATGGCGGAATATGTTCAGACTTGTGTTATTTGTGGGGCTGCAATGTCAACGTTCCATGAAAGGAGACTAGAGTAGTTAGGGTACGATGTTGACGTAGAAGATTTTGGTTGGTCCGGACAAATTATAGAAGTTGCATTATACATAATGATCTCTGGTAACCAGATCTGCTCGGGGTTGTGCACTGAACAACAATATAAACGCAACATATTTGTTTCTGCTCCCATTTTTACTGAACTGAGAAAACTGGTCAGTATCTGGTGTGGCCACCATTTGCCTCACGCAGTTGTACACATCTCTGTGGCCCAGAGTTGATCAGGTTGTTGATTGTAGCCGTGGAAAGTTGGTCCACTCCTCTTCAACAGCTGTGCGATGTACCTGAATATTGGCAGGAACTGGAACATCCGGTCTTATACGCCGATCCAGAGCCCAATGAGTGACAGAAATTGTGTATTTGTAATTGTGTAGTAATTGCAATATGGGACCGTGCGTTATCATGCTGCAACATGAGGTGATGGTCGTGGATGAACGGCACAACAATGAGCCTCAGGATCTCGTCATGGTACCTCTGCATTCAAAATGCTATCGATAAAATGCACCTGTGTTTGTCCGTAACATACGCCTGCCCATACCCCACTGCTACCATCAGTCACTCGAACCACTGTCACCCACACAGCACAACACACACTGTCTTCCATCTGTGAACAGAATGTCTCTCCAATGTGCCAGAAGCCATCGAATGCGAGCATTAGCCCACTCAAGTTGGTTATGACGATGAACAGCAGTCAGGCCCAGACCCCGATGAGGACGACGAGCACGATGAGCTTCCCTGAGACGGTCTCTGACAGTTTGTGCAGAAATTCTCTGATTATGCAAACCGACTGTTGCAGCAGCTGCTCAGGTGGCTGGTCTCAGCTGATCCTGGAGGTGAACATGCTGGAAGTGGAGGTCCTGGGCTGTTGTGGTCACACGTGGTCTGTGGTTGTGAGGCCGGTTGGATCATGTGCCAAATTCTCTGAAACCACTTTGGAGACCGCCTAATGAACATTAATTTCACGGACAACAGCTGTGGTAGACATTCCTGCATTCAGCATGCTAATCGCACGCTCCCTCAAAATTAGTGGCATCTGTGGCATTTTGCTGTGTGATCAAAGTGACCTTTTATTGTGGCCAGTCTAAGGCACACCTTAGAGTAATCGGCAGAAGTGCTCACTAACACCGGTTAAGACAGATTAGTCAACAATATTTCAGAGTAAAGGATCTTTTGTGTATTCAGAAAATGTTTCAGATCTTTGAGCTCAGCTCATGAACAATGGGGCGTTTATAATTTGGCTCAGTTTAGTTAAATGTTTTTGGGGCGGAGTCTGATATTGATTATAGTGCTCAGTCGGGTGAAAAATGGGGCGCTATGTAGTTTTTCTCCAAGTGGCGTTGCTGTGGTGTGACGTCATTGGCAAGCACAAGACCCCGAGAAGATCTGGACCCTGTCGGTTAAAACGGTGGACAACACAAAAGTCTGATGCAAACTCTGGTGCACGTAGGTGGTTTCTGACCGAGTAAGACTGAGTCACACTTCCTGACTCATTCCTAAACTTACCTTTCACATCCATCATCTGCTCCAAACGGTAACCTCACACCCGTGACGGCGTGTGTGTGGAGAGGGCGTGAGTGTTCGGTAACTGGAAAAACTTGCCCTCCTCTGTTGAAATAGCCATTCTCTTCAGCTGAAAGAATAAAAGATGCCTGGACTGGAGGTGTTGTTCAACATCCGGCACATTGCCACGTGCGTCAGGAAGCGTCGTGAGGAAATGTTCCTCGAACATGAAGAGGAAGTCTTCAAAAGGAGGCTTGTAATACGTCGTCCTGTTTGTGTTTTCCTAGTTCACGGTGTGTTTGCGTCGCGGAGGACAAACGGTTTACCAGCAGGTGCTGTCTGTGGAGCGCCCCCCCACGTTACAAGGCTGGAACTGGGGTTACTGTGGGGAGTATGCCTTCTACCACGCGTTGTACCCTCGAGCCTGGACTGTTTATCACCTGCCTGGACAGAACGTCACCCTCACCTGCAGGCAGATTTCTCCCATCATCCCTCACGATTACGAGGTAACAGGTGTTTTTCCATCACCTCTGTCTTCTAGACGTTTGTGCCTCTTTCCTTTTCTATTCATGACCACCGTCTTCTGTGTCATTTAGGATTCAAGTCTCCCAGTGGCAGTATTTGTGTGGGACATAGAGAACAAGAACGACTACGATTTAGACGTGTCCATCATGTTTACAATGCTCAACGGATCAGGAAACAAGGACGATAAGAGCGGAGGCCATTGGAATGAACCTTTCCATCTGGAAAAGGATGGGGAGGTGGTGTCTGGAGTCCTGATGCATCACTGCACTCCAGTGAACCCTTACACCCTGTGTATCGCAGCCCGAGAGCAGGTTTGATTTGATTAGCAGCTTTTTTTTACTTTTGTAATAAATTGCTGCGTGTATGTTTCAGTGACTTGTGCTTGTAAATGTACCAGGCTGACAGGGAGGTGAGTCACCAGACGGCTTTCAGTCCAAAGGGAACCTGTAATGGTCTGTGGAGCGACCTGATCACAGACGGACGGCTGGACTCTCCGACAGGTTGGTGCAGACATGTTTGCTCCGAATTTAAAGAGGTAGTACATTGATGTTACACTCTTTCTGCAGGATCCAGCCCGCCAACACCAAAGGGAGAAAAAGTAGCCGCTGCCTTAGCTGTGGGCTGCCTGGTACCCGCTCAGAAGAGTAACAGCTTGGAGTTCTGCTTGGCCTGGGATATGCCCAAGATAAGCTTTGGGTCAAGAGAGAGGGAACATATCAGGTACCGCAAACACAAAATCACATCCTGGCAGCAAGTTGAGTTGATCAAGGTGTCGCTGATTATTAAGAGGTTTTATTTTACCTCGCTGTTTTATTTATGGCGCAAAGTTGCTACAAATTCCTAATTGAAACGGGTATTTTTTTAATGTTTTCAGCCATTTTGGTTGTTCCAGTCAAATAAATTTCTCACATGTGACTGTAGAACACTTGGCTGTACAGAGGTTAGATGGTAGATTCAGTGACTGCATTGTCCCCAAACCATGCTTCCTCTGCCTCCGTGCTGACAGTATAGCTGGGATGAGCTCTTGCTTTGGACATGTTTAATTTCTCTTACCGTGTTTTACCGGTAAGGGACATTGTTCTAGACATCAGGCGGTTTATTCAGATGCAGATTTGCAGACTTAAGGCCGTGGACATTATAACGTCACCAAATGGACTGATTTTGAGATCCCACAGCTCATGTGCACGGCCAGAGCAAATAACCCTTGCTGCACACGTTCTGCTGTATTTTACCTTGACAGGAGATGGAACGTCTGCACGCAGGCTCTTTAATCAGATGGCTTCGTCAGCTGAACTGAAGCTTCATCAGATAATAAAGATGAACAGTAGCATTCCTTTCCCCAAGGTTCCTCCTAAAATAAACTTTTATTCCTGGAAGAAAAAAAGATGTCATAATATAAGTGATCATTTTATATTTCAGAATAATCCTTGAAGAAAAGAAGATCTTACAATTAATAATCACTAAATGTATAATTATAAATGATGAAATGTTTCACGAATCTGTTCAATGATGCTAAGTATGTTTGCTGGATTAGGTCACTCACACCAGACAAGAAGTAAGGCTGAATTAAGAAGCATTACACATAAACTAACCTTGTTTCGCAGACTCAGCGGCTCTGCATCACAGAGGGTGCGTTCTGAGAATTCTTGGTAACTTTGGTGATAGATAAACAGCGGGCTATAAAACCAGCCGCTCTGCTTCCACCCGGAGACAAGTTCGAACCTCCAACAGAACGAGGGTTGGAGAGCAAAGCTTTAAGACTGGCCACCTTTAGCTGAGCCACCAAAGGATTTTAACACACTGTCAAAACCTTAAGCTTTTGCACCTGCAAAGCCGAGAACACCGAGAGATTTTTCCTGCAGAACCAAGCTGATTTTGCAACACTCCTTCAGAGTTGTTTTGAGACGCTCTGGTTTCATCCAGTCCACCTGTGTTACCTGGAGCGATCCTGGACCGACCTGGTCGTACTAGCAGTTAGTCTACGGACTTCTGCACCCGGGGTCTCCAACCCCCTGACGTTTCAGATCCGCAAGGCGCCTCCACTTGGGTGCGTAGAACACAGTGAGATAGCGTCTGTATGCAGTTTGATAAGAACAGCTTACAGCTCAGATGCAAACCAAATTCTTTTATTATCCAGAACTCACCTCTCTCTGAGATGCGGAGATTTTGACTCTGAAATACTATATTCACACCTAGTTCCAGACACCCATCTCTTAGTTCGCATCCACTCACAGTAAATAATAGTTTAAACCATTTGTTAAGGTTTAAAATTGTTTGTAAAATAAATTCTTATTTGTTTGCAAACTTGACTGGTTCTTTAATCATAAGCGAAGTGTGACAATCCCTTAATATTTAAAAGAATCCTAGAACCTTCTAATTAATTAATCAATCAATCAATCAATCAAGTTTATTTATAAAGTGCTTTTCAAACAAAGTACGATTCAAAGTGCTTTACAAAATGACCCCAGATTCCCATAACAGGTTAAAAACATTAACAGACATATGCAAGCACACACACACACACACACACACACACACACACACACACACACACACACACACACACACACACAGACTCACACACACACACAGACTCACACACACACACACACACACACAAGTAAAAATTATATTTGGCTGAGTCCAGATGAGCCAAGTAAGGTAACGCAAGGAAACACCATCAGAGGAGCCGTCTGCCCCGGCAGCATCAGGTCTTCCACACTAAGTCAGGGTGCTCAGTGGAGGGGGAGCATAGACCCCCACCTCCACTTAAACACTACCTATAGAACACCCAGGAAGCTACAGTCGACCACCATGCAAAGCAAGTAATAAAATATAATCATGTAAAACGAGAAATAAAACTGTAGAAAATATTTAGATAAATCAAATCAAATCAAATCAAAGCTTTATTTGTAAAGCGCCTTCCGCAACCCTGTCAGGAAGCCCAAGGCGTTGAACATGGTACAGTAAAAGCTAACCTAAAAAGATGGGTCTTGAGCCTGGACTTAAAAACATGAACCTTCTCTGCGGCCCTGAGGTCCTCTGGCACCTCGTTCCAGAGGCGAGGGCCATAACACTGGAAGGACGCCTCGCCGTGAGTGTGTGTCCTGACTTTAGGGATGACCAGGAGACGCCTGCCAGAGGAGCGCAGAGGCCGTGAGGGTTCATATGGTAAGAACAATTCTGATAGATAAGAAGGCCCAAGACCGTTAAGACACTTAAAACCATTAGAAGAACCTTAAAATGGATCATCCTAAGGCCAAGCTAGGTGATATTCTCTAATAATAGTATTACAGCTATTGGTCATAAAGTAATGAGAATAGATATAAATAGCTCTTAAGCAATTTATTTAATCCAATTTACCCTCTATTGATCTCATTACAACATACATAGCCAGATTTTTGTAAAAGCAAATATCCTCCGAGGCCCATTTAAGAAAGATACTTGGGTCCACAGGAAAATCCATTGCTGTGTGAAACAAGCCTGTAGGTGGCAGCAGTTCCCCAAATCTTTGATGTCTTTGTCGAAAAATATTTTTTGGATTTGGAATGACTAAGAGGTGGGCAACAACCATCCTTAACGTTGTCCCCGGCATCTTAAATGTGCTTGTAAAAACGAGAGAGTAAACACAGGGCTCGTGGGCAGTGACTTATGAAATCAGTAATGATAATAATAATAATAATAATAATAATAATGCATTGAACTTATATAGTGCTTTTCTAGACACCCAAAGACACTTTCCACACACTCACATTCACACACTGCTAGTGATGGTAAGCTACTTGTAGCCACAGCCGCCCTGGGGAGGTCTGACAGAGGCGAGGCTGCCATTTGGCGCCGTCGGCCCCTCTGACCACCACTAACACAGGCAAGTTGGGTGAAGTGTCTTGCCCAAGGACACAACAGCAGGATACCCCTGGCGGGAGCTGGAATCAAACCCATGACCCTCCGATCATGAGGCAACCTGCTCTACCACCTGAGCTACTGCTGCCCATTTAAAAGCACCTTTCAAAACACCCAAGGTCACTTTACAAGATAGCACGCAATAAAATACAGTAAAATACCAGAATAAAACAGATCAAACAAGTCATAAGCAGTTTTGAACAGATGAGTCTTGAGTCTGGATTTGAAAAGGGTGAGGCAGTCAATGTTTCTGATGTCTGGGGGGAGTGCGTTCCAAAGACGGGGAGCAGAGCGGCTGAAAGCTCTGCTCCCCCATGGTAGTGAGGCATGCAGAAGGGGTAACAAGGTGGAGAGAAGAAGAGGATCTGAATGAACGTGATGGGGTAGCAGTATTAATGAAGTCTGATAAGTTGGGAGGAGAAAGATTATGTGTTGCTTTGAAGAAGTGGAGGAGGATCTTGCAGGTGGACCTAAGTTTGAGTGGAAGCCAGTGGAGCTGCTGAAGAACGGGGGTGATGTGGAGAAAGGAAGGGGTTCCGGTGATGACGCGGGCTGCTGAATTCTGGACCAGTTGCAGTTCATGAGTTTAATGGGGAGACCAAAAAGAAGTGAACAGCAGTAGTCAAGACGAGAAGTTAAGGCTGTGGACGAGAATGGCTGCAGCATGAGGGGTCAGGGAGGAGCGAAGACGATTTATGGATCGAAGATGGAAATAGGCTGACCGAGTTATGTTATTGATGTGGGCATGGAAAGACGGGGAACTGTCGAGGATGACGCCCAGACTCTTAACCTGCGGAGAGGGGTAGCCTGTGGCGCTGTCGATGGTCAAGGAAAAGCTGCCAGTTTTGGAGATGGTGGATTTTGTACCAATAAGAAGAATCTTGGTTTGATTGCTGTTGAGTTTAAGAAAATTTGAGGTGAACCAAGATTTGATGTCAGAGAGGCAGGCGAGGGCGGGAGAATGGAATTAGGTTTGCTGGAAATATAGAGCTCAAAAATCTGGCTGGAGTCATTTAAAGAATTGTTTTTGGTGTCGTAAATCTTCACTTTCATGTGACTGACCGGCCAAACTGGAGAAAATATCTGTTTAGTGTAGTGATGCACCGACATGAAATTTTGGGCCAATACCGATACTATTATCACTGTCATGGCCGATAACCGTTATTTGCCGATACCGATATACTGACATTAATGCTTCCAAAATCAGCAGATTTTGTATAGAATGAAAATTATTGAAGCAGAATTTACGTTATCATGTACATACAACGCACACGTTTACGCTTCTGAGAGGATTACACTCACCGTCACATGACTAAACAAACACACATCACCCCCCTCACCCTCTGAAACAGATATACAAATGGAAACAATATCGGTTGTTAATATTGGCCCAGTTTTATTTATCGAGCCGATACCGATGAGTTAAAAAATGACGAACATTTTCCGATACCGGTATTGATGCTGATATATTGTGCATCCCTAGTTTTTAGTGGGATACCCGGCTACACGTGTGGATGTCTGAGTCACGCTACCAAATGATTTCAGAGGAAGTGACATCAGGGTAGACTCCTGCTGTTTTTAGAGATGGTCACGCTTGCTGATGATTAGTTAACGAGCATGTTTGATCATCAATACCTGGATGAATTCCTACGTCTTGTGGCTTTTCTGTTTGCAGGAGATACACTCGTTTCTTTGGGACTAAAGGGGATGCGTCCCCCTCGCTGAGTCATTACGCACTAACGCACTACAAGCAGTGGGAGAGACGCATGGAGGAGTGGCAGGAACCCATAACACAGGACAGGTACGCTGGTTCACAGCTTTAAAAGCTGTGTTCTTCTGCTCTTCTTTTCATTTGTGTGCTCTTTTCCACAGCTCTCTTCCCTCCTGGTACAAGTCTGCTCTGTTTAACGAGCTGTACTTCGTGGCTGACGGGGGAACCGTGTGGTTAGAGCTATTAGAGGACGATGATGTCAGCGGTGGCGTGCGCAGCGAGGACGGGGGTTTGCCGGCTCAGCCTGCTGTTGTCAAGGAATACGGACGTTTTGCTTACCTTGAAGGTCGGAAAATAGTCCGTCAAACTGCAAACGAAAGCTTTTTGATCCCCCTCTGGTTCTTTTGATAAAAAAAAACGATCTGGGGAAAAGGCACGCCGTTTTTCTAAGACGTACTCCAAATCCTGAAACCTTTATGTTTTCGTTTCCAGGTCAAGAATACAGAATGTACAACACGTATGACGTGCACTTCTACGCCTCCTTTGCTCTCATCATGCTGTGGCCCAAGCTAGCCCTGAGTGTTCAGTATGATATCGGTGAGTGGAATATTCAGCAGTGATCCAGAAAACCCTCCAAGTCTAAAGGAGCTGAAATTGTGTTTGATTCTGAGAAGGTGACTCTCTCCTCAGCTGGCAGTGTGGTTCAGCAGGACCTGACAGAGAGGCTCCATCTGATGAACGGACGATACTCTGCTGTCAAGACCAAAAACGTGGTGCCTCATGACTTAGGAGACCCAGGTAGGAGGAGGAGGAAACTCGATGTGGGGAGGAAACTTTTCCTACATAAAGACGTTTTATGTGTCTTCGTAGACGACGAGCCGTGGCAGCGGGTGAACGCCTACCTCATCCACGACACCGCAGACTGGAAGGACCTGAACCTGAAGTTTGTCCTGCAGGTCTACAGGGACTTTCATCTCACACATGACAGGCAGTATCTGCAGGACATGTGGCCCATCTGCCAGGTGAGACCGGTTTTACCACATCCGTGTGAAGGGAGTTATCAGTTGTGGTAATCTAAAGCATGCTTGCCTGATCTGTTAGGCTGTGATGCAGTCAGAGCTGAAGTTTGATCAGGATGGCGATGGGCTGATAGAGAACTCAGGATACGCAGATCAGACGTATGACGGCTGGACGGTGACTGGACCGAGGTGAGGCACATCAAAACCAGTCTTTTAAAAAGAAAATGGACAGTTTAACTCTTGTCAAGTCTTTTTTTTTCTGTAAAAGTTTTAAAACCTTCAGGTGGAGAAACTAGGATTGGTTCTGAGCAGACTGACACGCAACAGCTAGTTTGTGCAAAGGAAGAGTTTGGCTAAGAGTGTTGTTCCAGTAGGGAATGTCTTAGGCCACACGTGTCAGACACAAGGCCTGTGGAGTATTTTTATGTGGCCCGCGAGATGAATATAAAAAATATATTAAAACTGACCCACTGGCCAATTTTACCGCAAAGACTACAACTCCCATGATGCTTTGCGGCGTTAGCGCGGAGCCGAAGAGCCCCCTCCTTTGTGTTTTTTCCAGCGTCTGGTGTCTGCAGCCAGTGGTGCATTTAGCTGTTTGGGGACCCAAGGCGAACACAGACATGGGGCCCCTTGCACAAAATTTTCTATTATCTTTTAATTGGATTTGTGAAACTCTCCCCTCTTCTGACATGAGTTATTATCCATTTTTATTAGTTGTCCTCTTTTTTCCTGTCTTTCTCTCCCTTTGAGTGCTTCAGTATTTGCTCTGCTTTCTTCTTCCTGTCAGTGCTCCTGTGCTTTTGCCTTTGTTATTTTTTTTCTTCTATTTTCCATTTTGGTCAATGTTTTCCTCCCTTTAAACATTTTCCATTGTCTTTCCTTTCTGCTTCCTTTTGATGTTTACATATAAAAACGACGTCACTTTTGGAAGTGAAGATAAAAGCTTTTTTAAAGCAAGCTGCTTCCTCTTATTGGAGCCACTAGGATAACTCCATTTCATGCTTAATGTTTTGACTACCGCCTCGAGTTTGTTACGAACTCTCCCGCCTCTCCTTCTTCTTATTTGTGGTCTTATGGAACTTGGCAAACAACAATTTGGTGCATTACTGCCACCAACTGGATTGGAGTGGAATGACTACCAATCACTTCCTGTTTGTGCATCGAGTTTTAAAGGAATGGGCCACTGTGGCATTAACAGAGAAGTGCCAGCAGTCAGGGATAGGGGGCCCCCAACGTAAGGGGGCCCCAGGCGGCCGCCGACCTATGCCTAATGGTAAAACCGCCACTGTCAGCAGCTCCGCTGTCTCAGACAAACTAAACACTCCTCTCATTCAGCGCCGAGTTTACTCAGCTATTTGCCGATGTCGAAGCCCAGAAACGGAGATTTTAGCCGCTCAGTAATGTGTTCATGACTGAAAGAGAAAGTTTTGCAACTAACTTCCAGACAGAGCTGATATAACTCCAGCGAGCAGCGACACGCTCAAACCAGCATGACTCTGTGGCTGCTGTAGTTTTTATTTTTCCTCCCCGACACACAACAACGTGGTCAAGCTGCTCAGACATGTTCAGCAGCACAAACCTATGTGAGCACCTGTTGTCATCCAATGTTGTCATTGTTATGATGAAGATGAACAAAACAACAGGAGTCTCCTTCTCAGCTCAGGTCAACCCCATGATGCAGGTATCTGGCCCGTGAGAAAAGATTTAACCTACAGTAAACAGGAAGTGGAAAGGCTGCAGATAGATGAATAGAATAGAAAATCCCTTTATTGTTCCTCAGTGGGGAAAGCTAGATGTCACAGCAGCGATGACACGTATTACAGGAGGGAAAAAGGAGAATAAAACATAAGAAAAATGAATAAACAACAAGAAAACATAAATCCTGAATAGATTTTAAAAATGTTGAATATACCATAAGTAATGCATACCACTGATGCGTTGACTGACTTGCTCGTGTGTAATTTGGTTATTCCACATTCAGTGTTAATGCAGAAATATGTTTGTTTCCAAATTAAAAGGTTCAAAATTGCAAATATGTTGATGAAGAAAATGTGCTAATTTGCCGTCACTTTTTCAAAAAATATTAAGTTTGGCCCGCGACTTCGTCCCAGATTTTGATTTCGGCCCAGTGTGAATTTGAGTTTGACACCCCTGTCTTAGGCTTTACAGGAAGTGCCATGTAAATGTTTATAAAACACGCTAGCATAAATGCTAGGTTAGAGCACCTTTGGGTCCACCCAGACTAGCCTTTAGCTCATCAGTCTGGTCAGAACTAACCTGTTTCTGAGAAGTATAACCGATTCTGATGGTCTTGGTATAATATGCTACAGTGCATACTGTGGTGGGCTGTGGTTGGCGTCCCTGTGTGTGATGTGTAAAATGGCCAGACTGCTGGACAACGAGCAGGAACACGGGCATTACAAAGACATCTTGGACAGAGGCTGCGCTGCTTTTGACAAATTGCTGTGGAACGGTAATCTCCGACATTGTTTTAGTGCCAAATGACCTTTAATAAGTATCTACTGTTGATGAGGACCGTAAAGAATGCTCTTATTGTGTGCTATCCATGTCAGGAACTTAAGATAACTTCCTTATCTGTTTTTCTCATATTTAGGCAAATACTACAACTATGACAGCAGTGGGAGAGAGCTATCTAACAGTGTCATGTCTGATCAGTGTGCTGGACACTGGTTCCTCTGTGCCTCAGGGCTGGGAGAAGGAGAATTCCGGGCAAGTTTAAAAAAACAACAAAGATCTTCCTGTAATAAAAAAAATTTCCTGAACAAACCAGATCAGCTGGACTCAAAATATTCTTTATTAAATCTGAGCTCCAGAAATTAAAGACCGTTTCTTCTTTTCTCCCTTCCAGGTTTTCCCAAAGGAAAAGATCCAGAGTGCATTAAAATCCGTCTTTAACTTAAATGTTATGAGCTTTGCTCAAGGGCAGATGGGGGCAGTCAACGGCATGCGTCCTGAAGGAACGCCCGACCGCTCCAGCGTCCAATCAGATGAGGTCTGGGTTGGAGTGGTGTATGGACTGGCTGCCACCATGATCCATGAGGTGAGGGCACGTGTGTGTTAGCATTAGCCTTATATTTATCGCAGCTGAATCGCTCCCCGATGATGTTGCCTTCGGACAACGTTCAGATGATGTCATCTGGTTTAACGCATAAATAGCACTGCAGCCAGCAGCAAAAGGTCATCCCTGGATTAAGTGCAACTATCTGTAGAGGTAAAATAACAATTATTCTACTGAAATTTTCATGATCAGGCATTTTTCATCCAAACATTAGTTTTCAGCTAGTTTGGAATATGATATTTGTGAATAAAAAAATTCTAAAAGTTTATACTTTCTAAAATACTTGAATATGTTTTTTTATATTATTTAACAGCAAAGCATAAATAGTTTTTAATAATTAGCATGTTCAATTCAATTCAAGTTTATTTATCTAGCGCCAAATCATGACAAGAGTCGTCTCAAGGCACTTCACATAATAAACATTCCAATACAGGTCAGTTCATTAAGCCAATCAGCCCTCTCCCTGGGCTGCCACCTCACCGTGATGGAGGCGTTGGAGTGTCTCAATGATCCCAGGAGCTAAGTTGCCTGAGGCTTTCTGCCTCAGGTAGGGTCACCCATGGCAAACAGGTCCTAGGTGAGGGATTAGACAAAGAGCAGCCAGAAGACCTCTTATGATGAATTATATGAATGGAAACCGTGTTCCCTCGCCCGGACGTGGGTCATCGGGGCCCCCCTCTGGAGCCAGGCCTGGATGTGGGGCACGTTGGCGAGCGCCTGGTGGCCGGGCATTCACCCATGGAGCCCGGCCGGGCACAGCCCGTAGAGGAAACGTGGCTCCCCCTTCCCATGGGCTCACCACTCGTGGGAGGGGCCAAAGGGGTCGGGTGCAGTGTGTGACGGGTGGTAGTCGAGGGCGGGGACCTCGGCTACAGAAGCTGGCTCTTGGCACATGGAATGTCACCTCTCTGGTGGGGAAGGGGCCTGAGTTGGTGTGTGAGGTTGAGAGGTTCCAACTAGATATAGTTGGACTCACCTCAACGCATGGCTCTGGCTCCAGAACCAGTTTCCTTGAGAGGGGTTGGACTTTCTACCACTCTGGAGTTGCTCCCACTGAGAGGCGCCGAGCAGGGGTGGGCATACTAGTTGCCCCCCATCTTAGTGCCTGTACCTTGGGGTTTACCCGAGTGAATGAGAGGGTAGCCTCCCTCCACCTACGTGTGGGCGGACGGGTTCTGACTATGGTCTGTGATTATGCACCAAACTACAGTTCAGACTACCCACCCTTTTTGGCGACCTTGGAGGGGGTGCTGGAGAGCGCTCCTTTCGGTGACTCCCTCGTTCTGTTGGGGAACTTTAACGCTCACGTGGGCAACGACAGAGAGACCTGGAGAGGTGTGGTTGGAGGAACGGCCCCCCTGATCTGAATTAGAGTGGTGTTTTGTTATTGGACTTCTGTGCCAGTCATGGATTGTCCATAATGAACACCATGTTCAGACATAAAGGTGTCCATATGTGCTCTTGGCACCAGGATACCTTAGGCCGCAGCACGATGATCGACTTTGTTGTTGTTTCATCTGACCTGCGGTCGCATGTCTTGGACACTCGGGTGAAGAGAGAGGCGGAGCTGTCAACTGACCACTACCTGGTGATCAGATGGTGGGGGAGGATGCCAGTCAGACCAGGCAGGCCCAAACGTATCACGAGGGTCTGCTGGGAACGTCTGGCAGAGTCTCCTGTCAGAAGGAGCTTCAATTCTCACCTCTGACAGAACTTCCAAAATGTTCCGGGGGAGGTGGGGGACATTGAGTCTGAATGGACCCTGTTCCGTGCCTCCATTGTTGAGACAGCCTGTCGTGGTGGCAACCCCCGAACCCGCTGGTGGACTCCGGAGGTTAGGGATGCTGTCAAGCTGAAGAAAGAGTCCTATCAGGTCTTTTTGGCCTGTGGGACTCCAGAGGCAGCTGATGGGTACCGGCAGTCCAAGCGGAAAGCGGCTCGTGTGGTCGCCAAGACAAAAACCCGGGCATGGGAGGAGTTCGGTGAGACCATGGAGCAAGACTTCCGCACGGCTTCGAGGAGATTCTGGTCCCCTCAGGGGGGGGAGCAGTGCGCTACCAACACTATCTATAGTGGAGACGGTGTGCTGCTGACCTCTACTCAGGACGTTGTGGATCGGTGGGTAGAATACTTTTAAGACCTCCTCAATCCCACCAACACGTCTTCCAGTGAGGAAGCTGAGTCTGGGGACTTTGGGTTGGCCTCTCAAATCTCTGGTGCTGAGATCACTGAGGTGGTTAAAAAGCTCCTCTGTAGCAAGGCTCCCTTTAAAATGAGCTAAAAAGTATTGTCGTGTGCTGACATTGTGATTGTAAGTTTGAAATGTCGTGACTTGTGTTTTCAGGGTATGCTGGAGGAGGGAATGCGCACGGCGGAGGGTTGTTACAGGACCGTTTGGGAACGTCTTGGCATGGCCTTTCAGACTCCAGAAGCCTATTGTGAGAAGAACATCTATCGCTCTCTGGCCTACATGAGGCCTCTCAGTGTTTGGGCCATCCAGCTCGCCCTGAACATGTCGCAGAAAGATCACACTACAAATGGAGACGGAACCAGAGCCTGAACCATTAGGGGGTGTAAGTGCAGACAGCGGGTCATCTGCACCACCTGTCTCACTATTTATTTGTCCAGATGTTTTCTGTGATTTGGTCAGAGATTTGGCACGTGACATTGTTGCTAGCTAATTATAAAGCTGTTATTTTTGTAGGAATCATATTAAAGGCATACTAAGCAACTTTCTCATATTTTTAATTCATTTTCTTGAGCCAGTATGTGGTAAAATGACACTTTACAAGGGTAATGAAATGTCACTCATACCACACTTGCAACTTCAGAGTCTCCGGACCAGTCCCCTTACGTCTTACAAGATCACGCTATACAGAAATCCATGTTTACACCTCAGAACAGAAGAGCTATACCGGGTTAGCATTTATTGTAACGTGTTTATCACGATGGAGCCTCAGAAGAACAAGAACATTTATCTGATGAAGATAAAAAAAATAAAACAATCGTCCGACCACAACAGAAATCAAACGAGAGTCAACATTAGGAATTTTTGTGAGAGCTCAGAGACATGAGTCTTGCATGTTTTAGATCACCAACACTTGATTAGTTTGATTTAGTGAAGATCCGCTCCTGTAGAAACTAATGAAGGTTGAGTAGACATGGCAGCAGTTGGATTGAGGTGATAAAAACACGAACGCTCAGCAAGGAGGGTTTCAGTTTTGTTTTTATGACCGTGAATTAAAACTGACACTGGGGGGGGGGGGGGGGGGGGGGGGGGGGTGCTAAAAGCAAGCCAAAACGGCAATGTTTCCCTTTAAAGAACTGACAAAATAACTATATTTAGCTGAAGCATTGAAACAATTACTTGCATGCTGTGCTAATAAAAGATTGGGAAACATAATGTCACATGATGCACATGACAACACTACATTTCACAAAAATAGTATGTTCACTCCTGTGTGACAGTGTGAGCGTCCTGTCACAGTGTCCCGATTGATCATGCGTCCTGGCTACTTGGCCAAGGGGATGCCCCTTTGGCTGACTGGTTAGCGTGCATGACTCTCACCCGGGAGTCTGGGGATCAAATCCCGCCCGGGCCCTTGTTTCTCCACCTTGCCACACCTGGAACACATTTATTTAGGAAGGTTTTTTTTTACTACTCTATAAACTTAAAGGCAGTGCTAAGAGCTGTGATTTATAATCAGTGGTGTAAGTAATGAAAGATTTAAAAAATCTTCATAGTATTTGGTGCCTTTTTTGCATGTCAATCGTAATATACAGCGTATTAATGTTTTTCAAAAATATGTAATATTAATGACAATCTACAAATAAATAAATGAATAAAATAAAAGTTTTGTTGCATGTTTTATTGATATGTTTGCTTACACACTGAGCCAAATGAGAGTTTCAGCTTTAAATTTATTTAAGGAAATTTATATAATAGTTAACTTAAAATCTTTTGAAGCCAGTAGACAGCTCATTGAACAGCCTCCCTTTGGAGAAATAAAGATTAGTTCTGATCGGACAGATGAAGTAAAATGGTCTCAGTGGGGCCAATTAAAAATTCTTAAAGGGGACATACACGCAAAACTCACTTTTTGTGTTGCCATATGGATGTCTACTTCTATGAACACTACAAACATTTGTCAGGGTTTGGTTTTAGGAATGATGTGCCTAAAAAAGCCATTTTAAGTCCCCCTATTATGACATCATAATAAGGACAATTACCACAAAATCATCCTCTCCAGTCAAAGCTGGAGGAGCAGCAGCTCGACTCCAAGCCCCTTCCACATATTTGAACTCCTTTTCTCATGGCAGCCTATCAGTGGATTGATGGGTGTGGCCAGCAACTGCTGGACTTCTTAAAGTCCCTGAAACCACTCATTCTGGAAGGTACTGAAAGTGTCAAGAACAGATCTACGGAAATTAATTTTTGTGAGAGATTTGGTTCTAAGACTTTCATAAACATGTTTAAAAAGAATTATTACAGCTTAAAAATAGGTCCCCTTTAAAGCCAGCCTGAAACCTTTTATAGCGGTTAATGCCAATCCTGTTTATCATATTTACATAGTCATAAATTTAACATTTAATTCCAATTCCTGTTGCTGCTCCTATTTTATGGAATGTGAGTGTGGCACAAACCGTTGTTCTATTAAAAAAATCATGTCTATTTTAGTGTTTGGCTGCAAGCAGAGCAGGAGTCTGTTTTTATTCCACTGATGTTTTATTTCACATGTTTTTATCGCTGTATTCTGTTTTGTCTCAGCATTTTGAGCTTACTTGCACTGTAAAAAAAGAGCTACAGTTAAGAGTTGTTTAAATAGTGCATGCACCACTAAACACCAGTGTTAGAGAAGGGCAGCTGTCCGAAGTAAGATGGCCGCCGCGTACGGACGTCAGGGTCCATTGACGAACAGCGCGGGCGAGGGATCTAGTTAATACATGATATCTATGGTCACAGCTACGGTGTCACTTCCTGCACAACAGGATCAGAGAGGCAGTGGGACAGGAATGATGCAAGGGTGGGGGAAAACATAAAAAAATGGATAAAACTGGTAAAAACAATCTATTTTCATTACAGAAAAGTTATGTCTCATTATGTCTTGTTAGTAAATTAGTAGGCTTACGGGCCGCCAATTCTTACCTGAAAATATAATTTAACAAAATGACATTTAGTTTGATACTATCAGTATTTATGGTGGACTGCTCTAACAAATGTGCATTGCATACCTGTACGGTTTCTATAGCTTTATTGTTAATAAGAGCACATTTGGAAAAGAGTTACCTCTATCCTCATTTGCAGTTATTAAATTTGCTTTATTTTCAATGTTGCCCTTTAAACCACATAATTATAGTATGCCGTATAATACTTAAAAGTTTAATTAAAGTTTAATTCATCTGATTAAACAAGTGGATCAAACTAAATCAGCTGTTGTATTCAAACACTTTCTCAGTTTCTTTTACTATACTGGTGTAATGATAGATGTTAATTACATTTAATTAAGGACCATAAGACATTAAATTTCATATCGAGTATGAAATCCATCTTATGGACACTGGTTTGTTTAATCAGAAGATTGGATCTTTTTATTACCAGGATTTTAAATTAACACTTTGTATTAACTGAGAGACAAGAGAAGAGTTTAAGGAAATGTATTACTAAATCATTTTAAACAATTTAACAAGAGTAATGGGCCATTCCCATCTGTACCGGGTCGGCCCGGGCCGGGTAGCGTAGGTTGTTTACATATCTGGGTGGCCTGGTATTTTTCCGGGCCAACCAAGGCTCATTCTCAGCCCTCTTCTCGAGGGGGTCTGCTTCAGGCTGACCAGGGCCAACACAACCCACTGCTGACAGCAAATTCACACCTTCCATTAGAGCAAGCCTCTGATTGGTGGGTAGAATCAGCCCACATGGGCTTAAGGCAAGGATGTGTGGAATCAACCGGGCCAGGCTGGGGCCGACTGGGGCTACCCGGCCCGGGCCGACCCGGTACAGATGGGAATGGCCCATAACTCTCTAATGATGGATGTTCTGATTGAATGAAGTGTGAGGTGAATGGTGTGTGGTGAATGAGTGTCAAATTCAGAACCCTCGTATCCAGAGAAGCAAAGTCTGAGTGGGAGATGATGTTTTGCTCCTAACTGATCAGAGTTTGAGACTCGTAGTCATAAACACATGAGACGCCATTTGTGTCACATCCACATACCCTCAGTGAGACCTCCGTGCAGATCCGGATGCCAGGTCCACGGACCGTCCTTGGCACTGGAGCCGATGGTACAGCGTCGACAGCATGACAAACCAGTCTTTGGATCGTCTCCAGGTAAAAAGCGACAGGTGTTTCACAGCGTCAAAAGGGGACCCTGCTTGGGTCAGCGAGTTCAGCTTTTATTCTGAAGGAACCGCTGCTTGGTTGGTAAAAACATCTGATTTTTCCCAGCTTGATGGTTCTCAGCTTAAGAGAAGTATAGATGGTCTGTCCATACTTCACTTAACATGCGGTGAACTTCATGGTATCTTGAGAAGAGATCTTGAGAACTGACTTTAAGATGGCGTTGGAACTGTTATATTAATCTGGATGTTTTTGATTCTGGACGAATCAAAGCTGACAGATAAAATAAACACCACAGAGACTCTGCCACACTTCAGACTAGGAAGGTTCTGATTGGATCAGCACAGCAATTGTAGGAGCTAAAAGCAGTGTCCTGTGTACGTGCAATTTGGCAAGTTGCTTATCAAGCCCAGCTTTTGAGTACGTGCTCCACAACATGTTGTTCAGTCCAGCTTATGTAAGTCTCAACTACTTTTGACCATATTAGGAGGTGGAAGTAGCAGCCCATCAGTTCCCAGAATCAAAGGGAGGTGGGGGTTGAAGGGTATAACTCAGACCTGGGCATTTCACGGCCCGCGGGCCACATCCGGCCCTTTGTGTATCCTTTTCAGGCCCGCGTGAGTTCAATAATGATTAGATTATGTAAATATATGTAGTGAGTGCAATACGACGGTGCTGCTTTTATTCTGAAAACCGCTACGCTACTTCCACATTGACGTATCTGCGTGTCGCGAGCTTTGAGCATCGACATAAATATACGGCTTTGAGTGAAGGTGAACAGCCATAAATGATGTTAGCCTCAAGATGGAAGCACACGCTAAGAAGCGAAAAATTGATAGCGAGTGTCGCGTTTTTAACAGGACATGGACAGCCAAGTACTTGTTCACAGAAATTAAAGGTAAAGCTGTGTGCTTGGTCTGTGGTACACAGGTCGCTGTGTTAAAAGATTACAATTTGAATCGCCACTACACGACCAAACATGAGGATAAATACAGAAATCTGTCTGAAAAAGAGCGCGCAGGGGTGTCTGATGCATTGCTAGCAAAACTGCAAACCCAACAAGGACTTTTCACCAAACTTCACACCAGCAGAGAGGCTGCCGTTCGGACAAGTTATGTAATATCTCACAAAATCGCCAGGAAAAGTAAGGCATTTTCTGATGGAGAGTTTATTAAGGAGTGCTTATTGGACTCAGTTACACTGATATGCCCAGAGAAAAAGGACGCGTTTGAGAACGTCTCACTCTCCCGACGTACTGTGACGAGGCGGGTTGAGGACATCGCTGAGAACTTGGAGCTTCAGCTGAAGAACAGAGCTGCTGACTTTGAATTTTTTTCTCTGGCTTTGGATGAGAGCTGTGATGTGCGTGATACCGCCCAGCTTCTCATCTTTTTACGTGGAATAACTACAGACTTTCAAGTCACGGAGGAGCTGGCTGCCATGCAGTCAATGAAAGGAACAACAACCGGCAATGACTTATTCATAGAGGTAAATGCATGTTTGGAAAAATTAGGACTGAAATGGGACAATCTGGCAGGTGTAACAACAGATGGTTGTCCAAATCTGACTGGAAAAAATGTAGGACTTTTAAAGAGAATGCAGGATAAAGTAACAGAAATTAATCCTGTGCAGAAATTGACATTTTTGCATTGTATTATACATCAGGAAGTGTTGTGTAAGACAGTGTTAAAGATGGACCACGTTGTTGATGTTGTAACTAAAACTGTTAACTTCATCAGAGCAAGAGCATTAAATCACAGACAGTTTATTGCTCTTTTGGAGGAAAATGAGATGGAACATGGTGACATCAGCTACCACTGCTCTGTCAGGTGGCTCAGCCTAAGCAAGGTACTGAAAAGTGTCTGGGATCTGAGAGAACAGATTCAGGATTTTTGTGTGAAGAAAGGACATGCCGTCCCAGAGCTTTCAGA